TCTTCCGAAGGACAGTCCCTGGCCTTCACCCCTCCTGCTGGGCTGACCTGCTTTTCAGACGTCAGAGTCACGTCACTTCAACACAGAAAACATCTCCAGGAAGGTCACCTCCTCCCGGAAGGCCCAGCTCCGCAGGCGCCCCTGGCTTCTGTGCTGGGAGGGCCGTCAGCCTCAGACACCAACAAAGTGGCGTTGGTCTTCTGCGTTCGAAGCTCCCAAGCAGTGCCGACGCCTCCCGTAGGCCAGCTGTCTCCTTCAGACGCCAATCATCGGGGAGAGCCGGGTCCCGGGTCCTCTGCATCGGGGGACTGCGCCTCGCCGCTTTGTTGTTGAAGAGCCTCCCCGCATCCCAGCCGGGGCTCGGGGCAGGCAGCCGCCCCCGCGGCCGGTTCTTCGGTCCCTCACGCTGAGTGATGTGCTCCGTTGGTTTTACTATTTTCGTGCAGAGAAGAAACCGGTTTCCTTTCGGCGACACACTGACACTTCACGAGCACAGCTGTCAAGGGGGCCAGGGGTTCGCTTTACAGCTGCGGACCACCGGCTCTTACCAGAGCCACAGGGCCTCCACCTCGTGCCGAGGAACTGGGTGCTTCTGAAGCAATGAAGCAAGATGGTCCCCGTCACAGCGTGGGGAGCCTGGTATCACGCCCATCCGCAGCTACGGTCCCCGCCCAGGACGGGCACCGGGGCGTTAGCCTTGCGCCACTTGCAGGGCGGGCACACGACACTGTGGTCAGCACAGCCCTCATCTGTAGTTCCGGAAGGTCACTTACAACTTCCATAATCTTCTAGAGTGGAGCTCACATCCTACCAGGGAGGAAGGCGGAGCAGGTGCTCCTGCCCGTGGGCGGTGGCTGCGCCTGGAACACCCCCAGAGGCGGCTGCCGCACACAGGGCCGCCCACCTGCCCGCCCCCTGATTCCACTCGTCCACGCTGACGCTGCGGAGGCCCCCAGGTCCAGGCCACCTGCTCTAGAGAAGACGCCCCCCTTTCCCCACTGCGGGCCTCGCCCCTCCGTCCCCAGGGCAGGCTGCGGGCGCTGCGGTTGGGGTTCTCGCCGCCTGCAGCCCTGGGCCCCGGAAGTCCTTCCCACCCGGTTCCGCTCCGGGCCCGGGAAGGAAGGAAACACGTCACTCCTCCGCTTCAGAAACGCACGTCCACGCGAGCTCACACGCCTGCCCCCCCCCCCCCAACCCGGAGGAGTCAGGACGCACGAGGACAACGGTGCGAGGGCCTCCCTTCTCCAAACCCAGGTACAGCTGGCGCCTGTCAGTCCTCCCCACCCGCCCCCGCTCCGGGAGCGCTGCACCTCGGAGACCCCGTCTTTCCTCCCTCCCTCCCCCGAAGCCGCTCCGCTGGCACTGCCGGACTCCTGGCGGTAGCGGCGGCGGCGGCTCCGCCCGACCTGGAGCCCACCGGGAAGGCCCTGCTGCCCCCGCTGCTCCCGGCCTCGCACCCGGCCCGGTCTGCATGTCCCGCTGACCCCCTCCCGGCTCGCAGAGGTGAGTGCCCCGGAGACGCGCGCCTTTCTCCGGCTCGCTAACGGGCGCCTGCGGGGGGAGGGCGGCTTTCGAAATAAATCAGTACGTTCTCTTTGACCCTGAACGAGTACTTGGGTGGAACTGTTGGACAGTGCTCCGTGATTGAAATACCTCTACGCGTCCCTAGAAGCAAACCAGAGCAGGGAAGGAGAACAGACCACCCGCGAGCCGTCCAGGCAGTTTACTGTGTTTCCCCACATACGACGCCGTGACGGGTTACGTGCCCAGATGTGTGAGGGAGAAGCGAGGATGGGCGTCACACGTGGGTGTGGTAATCCCGAGTGGGTGCGCACAGAAGCGCGGGTGCGCGTTACGTTCTGCGGTGTTCTCTGACGTGTGGCCTCGGTGCGCCGCAGCGGCTTCCTGGTCCTCCGAAACACAGTTTGTTGGAGGGTGATTTCGGGTCCGCAGGACAGTTGCAAAGATCACACAGACGGCCCCACGGCCCCCGGCCGTCTCCTGTTCCAGGGCCTGACCCGGACGCCGCCGGGCCGTCGAGTCTCCGCCGTCTCCTCTGGCGTGTGACCGCGACTCAGGTTCGTCATGCGTTTCGTTTCTCAGGGCCCGGGCGGGCTCCCTCCTCGGCATCCCAGTCTCCCTCTGACACGCTCAGCACACGGAGCGTGTTGGTAACAGCTCTTCCATGTTCCGGCGTCTGCTCGTTCCCTTTCGCCTCTGGGCCCAGTTAGCTGCTGATTGATCTCCCGGCAGCATTTCGGTTCCCACACGCCTCTTTCCAGCGTCACTTCCTGTCGCTGGATGCCCTTTCCCGGGCTTGGATGCGTCGGCTGCACTCGGGTCGGTTCTGTGAGCGAGCCTTTCTGGGGCGCTCATTCCCCACCCGCACCCCGCGGTCACCGGGACCTTCCCCGGCCTGACCCGCGTCTGCACGCCGGGCTCCAGCACAGACTGTGGCGGGGGGCCTTTCTGTGCGGACGGCCTGGCGGGGCCCAGTGCACCGACGCCCCGGCTGGCGAGATGGGGGCGCACGGCGAGCGCGGCCGCGTCACCGGGCGGCTGTGTCACCGGGCGCGGCAGCTCTGTGCCTCTGCGTGGTGGATGTTGTTTCCTGGCACATGGCTTTTTGAATTGCTCACACCACCAGAACTTCTCAGCAGCTTCCCAGAGGAAACTGTATTACTGGTATGGATGTTTTCCTCCAGCGTTGGATAGAATTCGTCAGTGAAACCATCTGTGCCGAGTTTTCTGCGTGGGAAGGTTTTTAAACTACAGGTTTCAGCTGTCTGTGTGTTCAGAGGAGCTGGGTGATTTGCCTCTTTCAAAGAATTTGTCTATTGTGTCTCACACACGGCCACCCAGTTGGTCACTGTAGGTCCCGTGCCCTTTGGTAAGCAGCGTCGGGTGCACAGCGTCAAGTGTGGCGTGCACACGCGCGCACACACACTCACACTCACACAGCTGCCTGTGAGCCCCGCACCAGCAGGGCCTGGTTCCCACTGACCAGCCACTGCCGACGCATCACCGCCTCCCGAGCCCACAGCGTGCGCCGGGCTCTGCCTCTGGTTCCGTGCAGCCTGCAGGGTGGACCGCTCGCCTGCTCCTGTCCCCACGGCCGCCTCCTGTGTGCCACCAGCTGGCCTAGAGCAGTGAGCAGGTTTCCACCGAGGGACGCGTGCTCAGGGTCCCTCCGCATCCATGTGCGTCTGTGTGTGGCGTGCCGGCCCGCCGGCCCCATTCCTCCAAACACTGGCCGACACTCCGCCGTCCGGGTGGTCCGCAGTGCACCCGCCCACTCACCGGAGGACGTCCAAGTTTGGACAATTAACAAAGCTGCCGGAAGTGAGAGTTTTGTGTGGCCACTAAGTTCTCAGCTCCTTGGGGTAAACCACCCAGAGGCTTGACCGTTGGGTTGCGTGGTGGGACTGTATGTTTTGTAGACGATGCACGTAGTTTCCTAGGAAATTCCGCCAAACGTGTGCACCGTGGCTGTGCCACATGGTGCTCCCACCGGCGAGGGAGATTCCTGTGCTGCTTGCCTCTCTGTCACCTGGGGACACTCTGGGGGGCGCCATTGTCCTCACTGATGCCAGGAGTTGTTTCTGTTTTGTTTTTTTACTAGAGGTTTTGTCAGTTTTTATATTCTTGATCCAGTGTTTGGTTTCGTTGATGTTCTGATTTTCTATTTCATCCTGGTATGATTATTTCTTCCGTTCCTGTTCCAATTATTTAATATTTCTCCTGCTTCCTTGCTCTTTTTCTATTTACCTAAGGTAACAGCCTAACTCACTGATTTTCAAACCCGCATTAACCCTTTCCTGACGGAGGAGCTCGGAGCTCCGCGCCTCCCCAGTGCCGAGGGGGCGGCGCCGGCCCCTCTGCCGGGCCGTGGCGGCGCGCTCAGCGCAGACTGGCCCCCCCGAGTGCTCTCCGACCCCGGGCGCCGGGAAGGCATCCCTAGGTTCTCGGGCATTTCCTTGTTGATTTCTAACACAAGTGTCATGCCTTGAACCTGTGTGAATTGAGGCTTGAGATCCCGGGACACCATCTGTCTCGGTGAACGTGTCTCGTGTACTTGGGAGAGTCACTGCGCCCCGGGTGGCGCTGGCTCAGCCGTGGTCCAGGTCTCCTCACCCCGGTGACCGCGTGCTTTTTGTTCTGCTGCCGTCGGGGGGCGCGGCGAAACCCCCGTAAACCGTGGGTGGCGCCCGTCCGGAAGGAAGCTCTGAAGGGCGGTTTCCGCTCAGCGGGTCGGCCCTGTCCCTGCCACGAAAGGACCTCGATCCCTGGCGGCAGCCCGACTGGAGTCCGCTCTCCGGAGGCCTCCCACTCGTGCCTGGCACGTGCGTGTTTCCCGCCCAGCGGGTCTGCGTCACACCGCAAGGCGGTCTCCAGGACGCGGCGGCGGCGGGCAGCCGGGTCCCACAGCCCAGGCCAGGCTCACGCTCGGCCCTCCGGCCGGGGCACCACCGGTCCTGCTCCACGTGAGCCTACCGGCCCGCTGCCTTGTCCTCCGTCACGCACCGTCGGGGGGGTCTCCACGTTGAAAGACAGACAAAAAGTTGGGGGTACGGGCACGTTCTTCTCCCCCGTGTGGAGGCCCAGTGAGATGTGCAGACCGCCCCGTGGGCCGGGCACCGGTGCCGAGAAGCGCCGGGACTGGGTGTCCGAGAGGCCGCGTCAGGGACTGGGTGACCGAGACTCGCTCTGCGTGGTGGCCGTTGAACACACGCAGACTCCCCCCTGCCCGGCCGGCCTCTCTGCCCGGCGACCCGGGTCGCAGCTCTGCCTGACGCCTCGCGGCCAGCTGCCACAGCACGCGTCCGCAGCCACACCCCTGCGGGCTCAAACTCACGATTCACGCCGGAACTCGGAACCCGCCCCGCGGCCAGAGCCGCTCCCGAGCACGCCCGTCCGTCGGCCGAACCCGGGTGCCGCTCTGCACGCCCGCACACGCGGGGCAGCCCGGACCGCAGGCTCCAGCACACAGAGACGGCACGTGATTAAAAAGATCCTTTATTTTAAATGTACATAGTACCACAATTAATCAAAATAATTTATAATACTCAACTGCCTTTCAAATGTGATCTTCTAAGTGATGCCTCTGAAGCTAGAGTTAATGTGGACTCAGTCAGTGTGTGTTTAAAATTAACCGTCTGCTGTGCAGTCTCCCGGGAAGGAGAGTGGGACGAGCCGATCGGACGGATGGACACCGTTCCACTGTCAGAGGGACTAGCACGAGCACAAATTAGCTGGAACAGACCTAGCTGTCTCCTCGGTCTGGCCCTTCCATACGGACCTGGCTTTGATGTTACACCTGCACCTGGTTTCCTACCGTGAGCACGGAAGTCCTTAACAGCAGCCTAGAAGGGACCTCGGTGTCCTGGTGGCACCTGAGTCCTCCCCTCCCGCCGGTCACCTGGTGCTGCCCCCCGGGGGGCGGCAGCTCACACCCGCATCCCAGAACGGGGTCCACCTTAACCTTCCAGGTGCCACTGCTGAGAGGAGGAGCCGTCACATATTGCCATGGCAACAAAGCCTTTGTGACTCAGCGGGTCCACCGCTTTCAGGCACTGCCCAACTGACACCTGGTACAGCCGACTGCTCTTCTGGAAACAAGAAAGGAGAGGTCGCTCAAGCACCGCTGGGAGTAGGAGTGGGGAAGCACGCACAGCCCGCCAGAGCCCACGTGGGATGTTTAAGGCTCCTTACGGGGCGCTACCAGCTCAGAACCCCTCCCACCGGCAGAACAGGAGTCCGCCTGCCCCCGCCCCTGCCCCCCACTGAGCCAGCCTCTCACCCCGAAGGTCCACTGCTGGGAGCCCCCGGACCCGTGGCACTTCATGAGTCGAGGTGGGTCCGACGACCGGGTCTCGGACATGTCCAGGCAAAGGAGGTTGCTTAAAACCAGCTCGTGCTCTTCGTTATAAACCCAGACCTAAGGGAAAAAGTGAAAGGTCAAAACCGAAGTTCCCCCCACAGCAGTCAGAAAAGACAAAGAAATAAAAGCATCCAAGCTGGACAGGAAGAAGTGAAACTCGTCATTTGCAGATGCGTCATACTGTCCCCGGAAAACCCTGGAGACGCCATCCAAACTCCGTCGGAGCCGATGGCCCCGGCGAAGCTGCGGGCGTGGAATCGGCGCACACAGACCTGCTGTGCTCCTCCTGCACGGCAGTGACGAGTGCTCGGGAGACAACCACCCCGCTCGTGACCGCGTCAGGAAAACAAAATGCCCAGAGATAGATCGAACCAGAGATAAAGGACCTGTGCTCGGAGAGCTGTGCGACACTGATGTGTCTCCTCGGGCAAGGGAAACAAAAGAAAAAATAAACTGGGACTCCATCAAACTCAAAGTTTTCCGAACAGCAAAAGAAACAACAACACGAGACAATTTACTGAATGGGAGAAGGTATTTGCAAATGACACATCTGAGAGAGTTAATACCTAAAAACATATAAAGAACTCATACAACTTAACACCAAAAAAAAAAAACCACCCCCAAACCACCCAACTTAAAAATGGGCAGATGCCCTGGCTGGTGTGGCTCAGTGGATTGAGTGCCGGCCTTCAAACCAAAAGTCGCCGGTTCAATTCCCAGTCAGGGCACATGCCTGGGCTGCAGGCCAGGTCCCCAGTAGGGGCCATGGGAAAGGCAACCACACATAAATGTTTCTCTTCCTCTTTCTCCTCCCCCCCGCCTCTCAAAATAAATAAATGCATAAAAATCTTTAAAAAAAAAAAACTGGGCAGAGGACCTGAACAGGCTTTTCTCCAAAGAGGACATACAGATGGTCAACAGGTACATGAAAAGATGCTCAGAATCTCACTGCTCATCGGAGAGATGCAAATTCAAGCTGCATGAGCACTCACCTCGCACCTGTCAGAGTGGCCACTGTCAATGGGCTGACCGGTGCCGGTAAGGGTGCAGAGAGAAGGGACCCAGCGTGCTGCTGGTGCGACTTAAACCCGTGCAGCCCCTGGCAAAAGCCGTACGGCGTTTCCTCAGATACATCACCCAGCAACCCCACTCATGGGCATTTAACCACCGAACACGAAAGCACGAGCCCGAAAAGCTGTCTGTACCCCTCACAGCAGCCAGGACACGGCGGCAGCCTAGCCGCGCCGCACCGGGCGCGTGGGTGAAGCGGAGGCGGGGTGCACATGCGGTGGGCTCCGGCTCAGCCAGAGAGGAGCGGTGCCCCGCCACCCGTGCCACGGCCCGGGCGGGCCTGCGCCGGGCGAGCGAGTCAGCGCGCACGCGGGCTCACCTGGTTGGGGTCGCTGTAGTCACACGCCTTCAGCACCACGAGGCCTCCCTTCTGACTCGGGCGGCCCTGGGCCACCAGGCACTTGCCGGTCTGGGGGTGGTAGAGCTGCGGGAGGAGAGGCCACGTGTGAAACCCAGCATCAGAGACAGACCAGCACTAGACCCGGGGGTTCGGGGCGAACCAGGAGAACGTTAGCCAAAGGTGGGGCCGCCCTGGGCCATCAAAAGCATGTTCGCTCCGACACCCTAGCTGCGTGCACAGCGGCATGAAGGGTCCCTCACGGCTGCAGGCCGTCTTAACCACAGGTGCAGGCAAGGTCAGGCAGCAACTCCGCCTAAAGACACGGGTCGACTGATCCCCCGGAGGGAAGGGAGAAAATTAAACCATCATCTGTGCCCCGAACAGAACCCTGGGGAGGTCGCGAACAGAAAGCCTGGAGCGAGCACGACCCAGTCAGATACAGACTATGAACGCCGCAGGCACTCCGAAGGCTGCGGTGCTCGAAAGCGGCCAAGGGGGCCCCGTCCCAGGAAGGGGACTCTTCCAGGACTGAGCGCGCACAGCTGGTGAGGTGGGGACGATCGTGGCGAGGGGCTCAGCTACAGGGACACTCGCTGCGCCTGTCTTCACCGGAGCAGGGAACACCTGACTACAGCATCTGGGTGGTTTTTTAAACCTCAGAACAAGAAGGGGAAAGCTCCAGGCCTCTTACCAGCCGCCCCGCAGTGGTTACAGAACTTACACAGCCTGCAGAGAGCAAGTTCTAACACATGACTTAGGGAGAAGGCCTGAGTTTTTCTGGCTAGGGCCCTAAGATTTGTGTGATTATAAAACTGCAGAAATTCTGCCCTGGCTGGTGTGGCTCAGTGGACTGACAGCCAGCCTGTGAACCAAAGGGTCGCCGGTTCAATTCCCAGTCAGGGCAAAGGCCTGTGCGGTGGGCCAGGTCCCCAGTCTGGCGTGTGCAAGAGGCAACCAACTGATGTTTTTCTCCCTTCCCCTCTCTTAAATAAATAGTTTTTGCGAGAAACAACAGGGAACATGTAAGCAGATGTGTCGGCCAGTGGGGTTCCCGCTCAGCTCAGATGACCGCCACACACCGGGCATGAGCCTCACCAACACCCGGACAGCGCCCCCCGCTGCTCCCTGGCTGCAGTCGGCTCCCGGGGCCGCGGCCAAACAACTGCAGCTGCCCCACCCTCCCCTCCTGTTCTGGCCACTCGACAGGTGCGTGCCCAGTGCATTGCACACTCACACTGCCTTTCGCACCCGCACTCGCACCTGTCCTCTCGGGAGCAAGCGTGTGACTTAGAGAAGCCAGGAGCCACGCTTCCGCAGCCCCGGCAGGGAAAGGGTCCTCACAGCCAGGATGATGTAACTCCTGCACCTCCCTCAGCAGAAGGAGCCGTACGGGTGTAGCGGGAGGCGAGCCGCGGTCCCCCCCCCGAACACCCGCCAGGCCCGCCGCCCTGCTCACCCGGCCGCGCCGCAGCACTCGGGGCCGCTTCGGCCCTCTGTTGACGAAGAGGGGCTGCTGGGCCCTGGCGTTGGGCCCCGAGACCTGCATCTCCGGGTAGACGTTGTCCAGGTACCACTTGAAGGACTTGCAGCCCAGCCGCCGCCTCAGCTCCACGCGCTCGCTGACGTTCCCGTAGCTCCTGGTCCTCAGGTCGGGCCTCAGGGAGAAGTACTGCTCCTGCGTTGGGGAGAGCGGGCTCCTCGTTAGAGGGGGCGCCACCGAGCGCGTGGGGGGGCGTGTTCCAGGGCGTGTGAAAAAACGGATCGTGAGCAAAAACACTTCTCACGCCAGTGCTCTCTGGATTCTGACCGAAAATGGCCATGGGAAGTTGCTGCCCAACCAGGCCTGTGGCTGACCACGGTCAGAAGACGAATTGTGAGATGCACCCCAGTTTCAGAAACGGCAAAACCCGTGGGAACGGCACCGCACACTGATTCCGACTGGCATCTCAGAGTCGCTGCAACGGGCCACACGTGAGACGGGCGGCCCGCACGCCGTCCGACGCCAGGGCTCGGCCCCCGGGGTCACTGAGGGCCCCGCCCACGGAGGTCCTGTCTCTGCCTGTCACATGGACTGCTGTTTGCCACGTTCGAGTCAACATCCAGAAACGGAAGCCACTCGAGTCACCAGACACAGACTCACTGCCCACTGACGTGACGTGCTCGGGCGGGGAGGGCGGCCTGCTTTACCCGTCCGCAGAGGGGGCGGCGGCGGTGGGTCCCCGGGTCTGCCCTCTACCTGTGACTGCCGCGTCAACGAAAACACAGTTTAAAATGAAAATGTTTTAACAGCTTCCAGATAGTCCTGGCTGCTGTTCTTTGCACGTTAAAACTCAGAGACCTTTACAAGCCAGCTGCGACGGGGACCGGGAGGTCACCGCCTGGCGCCTCCGTGCTCCTGCTGCAGCGCAGCCTGCCGGCCTGGCCCGCCTTGCTCTGGGAGCGGGTCTGTGACCCGCTCAAGGCGTCCTGCACTGGTCTGTCCGCACTGGTCACTTGGAAAAGAGGGTTCTGTGACGGTCTCCCAAGTAGATAAACCTCACTACGCGATAGCCAGGGCACTTACGCGCGTGCAGACCACTGCTGCCCTCGGCAGAAAGGGTCTGCGGCTCGCAGCCAGCGCCTCGCCTGCAGCTGGGCACCGCCCACGCACGCGGTGTCCACCGGCGGAATTTCACGCACGCTGCCCACCCAACCGCGGGGACAGCTGGGCCCGGTCGGATGACCTGGGGCACTGTGAGGACTGCTGCGCTGGACAGCGGTGACTCCAGGTGCCCGGCACGAAGCTCGGCCTCGGGGAGCTCAGTCCGGTGGCGGGAAGTCCTGCCTCTGCTCCCCAGTCCAGCATCCCCTGGTCCTCGTCACTCCCAGGGGGCACGGGACACGCCCTCCACCTGCATTCACCTCGGGTTACCAGGTCCTGCGCGCTCTGCCGTTTGTGTACCCCCCAAGCCCCACGCGGGCCCAACAGACGCTCGCTCCGAACCACCGAATGAGCACGGTGGCGTTTCTCAGGACGGAAGGTGGGACTCACGCACACGTCCATCGGCTCACGAAAGGACGGACAAAATGCGGTCCTGCCACACGCTGGACTGTCACTTGGCGATAAAATGGGAGCGACGCGCGTGGCACACCGTGACGACCCTGGCACACCGATCCGAGTGAAGACCGACGGTCACAAAGGCGCCGCGCGACCAGGTTTGTGTGCAAGGCCCCGACGGCGAGGTGGGGGAGCGGAGTCCCGGTTACCCGGGGCCGGCGGAGGCGGCGGCCGAGGACATGGGGTTTCTTCGGAGAGGGATAGAATGTCCTGAGAAGTGGTTTCTGAATCAAACCTCGACAAAGCTGTTGCCCAGGCAGCGGAGCCGCAGGCTGCATCTCGGGGGAGGCGCGGGAGGACGCCGCCCGAGCAGCCCGCAGGGGGAGCCCGCGAGCCGCGGGAGGAGCCCGGGGCCCGGGGGCCGCAGGGGGCTGAGGACACCTGGGAGAGAGAGTTTCCTCCGCCGCCGCGCGTCTCGGTCCTTACCGGCTGGGCGCGCGGAGAGCCGGGTGACGAGGCGCGAGGGGGCGCCCGGCGGCGGCGGCCCCCGCGCGGACGCGGACGCGGCGGCGGCCCCGCTCACCTTGTACTCGTCCAGCCAGACGTGCGCCAGCCGCAGCGAGTTGTGCGTCATGGTGTCCCGGCCTTCCGGGGAGCCGTAGGGCCGCCGCTTCCGGAAAATGTGCCCGACTCTAGAGCAAGGGATGATGAAGAGTTTACCGCCACACATCCAGATCTGGTCGGAAGCAAAACACGAGTTAATGGTCGCCGCGGAGCCGCGGGTCGGCGCGCGCCCGTGCGTGCGTGCGCGGTCACGAGGCCGGTGCGTGCGTGTGCCCGCACGCGGCCACGAGCCCGGTCTCGGGGAGGTGGGCGTCGGCGGGGCTTCACCCCGTTAGAGCCGACCGTCCCGGAAGGCGGCCGAGGTGCGCTTCCCTGTAACTATCGGTCCGAGTCAGGTCTGAAACCACGCGGACTCCTTCGCCGCCGCGCACGGTCGGACCGGGCCGGGGAGCGGGGTCTTCGGGGTCAGGGGCAGGAACGCTCACTAAGGGGCCCTGGAGTCCCAGCTGTGCAGGAGCTTTCTCATAGTGTGTATATATATATATACGTATATGTATATGCTCTTTAAAAATAATATATGCAGAGTAACTAGGTCCAGATTCAAGAGATCTTAGATCTGGTCTAAATTTTACTTTCCACTGAGTCACCTTATACAGTTCCTTTAATTTTTGTGGGACTCAGTTACCTCATTTTCTACACCAAGACTGAACTAATAATGTCTATTATTCCTTCCAACTTCAAGACTCTAGAGATAGTGTGAAAAAACACTACCTTTTAAAAACACTGCGGTCAGCACATGTGCAAAACTACTCCACGGCCGGCGCACCGACACCGTGCCGCTGCCGGGACGCGCACCCGCTCCCCGACCGGGAGGGGGCGCGGGGACCCGTGTCACCCTCCCCCCGCGCGGAGGTGCTCGTGTGTGCACCGTTCAGGAAGCAGTGCGTGGGGGGAGGCTCGGTTTTTCGTCACGTGAGCTGGCCCACTCCTGGAAGTGGGAGGGGGAGCTGGGAGTGGTTTCCGGGGAAACAGGAGCGCGCCGGGCGGTCTGGGGCAGTCGGGGAGATCTGGTCCCGACGGTGTCCGGCAAGGACAAAGCGACACTAAATGCACATTAAGTCTTACGCCAAACCATTCACCACAACCGTCCCTTCTGGATCCTCATAAAACAAATACAAGGCTGCTTCTGTGCTTCTGACAGTCTGAATGGACGTTGTCCATAGCAGAGATTATGGCAAAGTAGCGTGCATTCATTGAGGACAATTTCTTAACAATCGAAGAGAATGCACAGAAAATACGGGCTCGCGGACGCACACACAAATGACTGAGCAGGTAAAAAATATAAAATCACCCGAAACGATATCTCCAGGTTCTCCCCGCCCCAGATGTCCATGCCGCTGTCGTACCGCCCGAGCTCGTCGAAGTACTCCCTGTTCATGGCGAACAGCCCTCCGGCCATCGTGGGCGACCTGGGAAACAGGTGCATTGTATCAGCTCTGTACGGTCGGGTTTCTTGTTCTAAAAAGCTCAGTGCAGCTGTGGAACATCACTGATAAACACTCGGTTACCCATCACAAAACACTGTGTCTAGTACCAGGGGCGGAGCTGGCCCACACGACCCCCTTGCAGGTCACTGGTGACAGACCAGATAACGGGAGACGCAGGCCACTCTCCCGACACCACAGCACTCTCCTTCATCACGACCGCTGTTGGCAGAGATGCACCTGCCGTGAGCTACGGAGCTCCGCCTGGCAGGCCCGGGGCCGCTGGGGTGAAGGCTGCACTCCAGGGCCCCGAAGTGAGACCGGACAGCCCGGCCACTCTGACCTCGGCTCAACAGTGTGTGCAGCCAGGGGCTCTCGAGTCGGGTGGCTCTGGCTCCAGGCAAGCGTGTGTCTTCCTTCTGGAGACACTTCCTGGCTGTCTGGGCCGGGTGCCTCCGGCATCTGACGGGTTGGGGCCAGGGATGCTGTTCCGTGAATAACTCATCAGGCCCAACAGACAGGCCCGCGCTGTCCAGGCTGAGAAACCCTGTTAGCCAGAGTGAGCGAGCGAGCGGTGGGCTGGCCTCCCCGAGAGCCGGCCGAGCTTCCAGGCACCGCCCCCCGCCCCGGGCAGCTGGGTTCGGCGGGCTGGGAGCTGGCGCCCAAGCCGCCTGCCGCAAGCGAAGCGAGATTCTGTGTGCAGGAAAACATCGCCCACCCAGGCACGGATGCACTTCTGTCATTTCCCACACACAGTGCCTGGGGCCAAACAAAAACCACCAGGCAAACGGGTGACGCGTGGCTGGGAAGCCGGGCCCCAGGAAAGGGGAGCAGGAGCAGCGAGCCGCCCACGGCAGCGCACGCGTGCGGGGGCCAGGCAGCGGGGCCGTGGCGCCGGGCAGAGGCTCCGAACCCCTGGCCGGGCACGGTCAAGCACGAGGGACCAGGCGTGAGCAGGGGAGTGGGCAGCACCACACACACACACCCCTGTGTCCGCACGTCTGAGAACACCGCTGGCGAAGACGGGGGGGGGGGGGGGGGGGAAGGAGGGCCGACGCGAGGTGACCTTCCGAGGAAACGAAAACCAGACCGACGCTGACTTCTCCCCAGAAGGCTGCAGAATAAAACCCCCGAAGTCCTGGAAGGACACTGTCTGCCAATTCAGAACTGGGTGTCGAGTGAAATTATTCCTCGAACTAGGGGTGGGACGAGGGCATTTTGGAAAGAGGAGTAATCGCCGGAAGGTCCGACCGAAGGAAACACTGAAACGTGCGCGTCAGTCAGAGCGGAAGTGACCCCAGACGAGAGCCTGCGGGTGCAGGCCGAGCAGAGGACCACGACGGGAGATGCATGTGGGGGACGCTCGGTGCATCGCGGTCACGGTCTCGTAGGGTGAGCCCCTGGCACTGTCTGGAGGAAGCACCGGTGTAGGTGACACTTCGGTCGGTCGAGGACACGAGCTGTCGCCTGCAGGGTAACCACTGACGTACAGGACACCAGACTGTGCAGCGTGCACGTGACACGCCGCCGACGGGGACACGTCCAAGGCCACAGACGGACCGGCCGCGGCAGCGGAGGGGAAGGGCAGGGAGGCGGGGGCCGCGGGCCCAAGCAGACGGCTCGGCCACGTGAGTGTCGGGCCACGAAGCGCGGTTCCAGCGTGCAGGGTACGGAACGCAAGGGCGCTTGTGACGCTGAGCGGTTTCCTTCACCGGAAGGTCTGACACTTCGTGCATCTGTTAACTCACGTGAAGGACTAGGAGGGGAAACACACCGTGGGAAACTGTGTGCCACTCCCAGCAACTGACAGAGCGTGGGAATGAAAAGTTAACTGAAAACGTGGAATATCTGATAACACGGTAAACCTGACCAAACCGCCACAGAATCCCACCCTCAACCACTGCAGAACACACGAGTCTTCCAGGCCCATGAGGAGCACGTACACAGGTCAGTGCTGCCAGACCGTGGGGCAGACCTCACCCATTTCAGTGAGGGATCAAGAACCACTACAAAGTCCCCCGATATTTGGAAAATGGTAAATGCACTGCTAAACAGCCTATCAATTGGAAGCCATTACAATGAAAACATTAAAAAATACATGATAAAAATAATGTATCATCTCTTAGGTACCCACCCGTATTAGAAAAGGAAAAAGGCTGAAAACTTAAACATATCGAAACACCCAACTCTGGCAGTTAGCCACGAAGAGAAGCAGCTTGCGGGGGGCGGGGAGCAGGAGCGGAGGGGGCAGCACCTGCTGTCAGGAGGCGGCAGGACCAGCGGCCGCTCCCGCCGAGCGCCCCAGGAGCCAGTGCGGCGCCCGCACACACCCGCACGGCACACCCGCCGGGGCCGGGCACACTTCATTCGCGGCCCCGGGAGCGGGAAGGCAGCCGCCCCTGACGCCACGGTCCCGGGGGCACCCCGAGAGCAGGGCCTGGTCCAGGCGACAGGAAGCAGCAGTCCCCCAGAGGCCAGCAGAAGCGCCGACAGCACCCTAGTCCCACCGGAGGTGTTCGGAAGATGTTACCTGCTGCTACAGGGGAGGGGGGGCGGTGCCCTGAGACCGGCAGGCTGCCCTGTGCACCGGAGGCCGTGAATGGGGATGCTGGGAACAGCGCTGCTTGCGATGCGAGAACGAACCACACGGGCACACAACCGAAAACACGGCAACGGCCCCCAGGAGCAGCGGGCGAATCGGCGGTGACGTGTTAGCCAGCAGAACAGAGCACTCGCACGCTCACCGTGCGGCACCAACAACGACTCAGCTGTAGCTGCACGTGCACCGCAGATGGTTCCCAGGGCGACGCCGAGGAAACTCAGACCAAACCGTGGGCCCCGTGGCATGAAGCCACGGGGGGGACGGGCGGGAACGAACACACTGCTCAGAGACGCCCGCGCGGCAGCGGGACGGCGGGGACCCCGGGGACCCGACCCAGGGACCCATCGCCAGGTCGGCCCGAGCGCTGGCTGCACGAGCGCCCGCGTTACAGCCGTCTATTCAGCGGTGTGCACACGCACACTCTTCACGGGTGCCATTTTTACAGTAGAGAAGTTGAAGGAGTGGATCCGAGACTCTGAAAACCAGACTACAAGCCTCTGAAAGTGACGTGAGAGACGCAGGGGGAAACGGGAAGGAGGAAGGAGGAGCAGGGTGCAGGGCGGACGCGCGGCGTCAGAGCACGCGGGCGGGCGGGCGGGCAGGGCCAGCAGACGCCCGGGACTGCGCCCAGGACCCTGGCTGCAGGAAAGCTGGCGTGTCCCACGCCCCCCACAGCACCCCTCCCACTGGCTGGGCACGGAGGACGGCCACCGGCACGGGCCGCGGGCACCCCCGGGCGTCCCACACAGCTCGGCACACTGCTGGCGACTCCGCCGGCGCTCCTGACTCGCCGAGCCGCAGAGCCTGAGCGCGAGGGCCACCTCTCACTCGTTAATCTCTCCTCAGGGCTTGGCCGACTGCACAGCATTCGGTCAGCACTCAGAATCTTAGCGAATAAACTACGCCAACACTTTCGCTTCTCGCAGAGGAGGAGGAACTATCTTTAAAATACTGTTTCCCCTGTGAGGTAGCGCTAGCGCTGGTGAGAGTCTCTCAAACACACGGGAGAAGCCTTACTTTATGGGTGCAGTAGCTCCTCCGGGCCCCCCGAGCTCAGAGGGGGGGACGAGGTCCCACTTGAAGTGCAGCCCCCAGTTGAAGCCCCCCCGCACCACGGGGGACGAGCTGTAGGCCAGCGTGTCCGCGCTGATGATGTCGATCACCGGGCACACGACCGTGCGCCGGTCCTCCCGGACGGCGGCCAGCAGGGGCTGCAGCCACATGACGTTCACTTCGCAGTGGCTGTCCAGGAACACCAGCACGTCCCCTGGGGGGGCAGACGGGGGGACAGTGTGCTCAGAGACGTGAGCCCGCTACACACGGCGTAGTATGGCACCTAATGTTGTTTAAACAATGCATTCGATTTATTTTCAAAGGAAATGCTTTTTACCACCATCATAAGTGACAGTCGGGACCGCCAGTCGTACACAGAGTTAACCACACGCGCACACGCACGGTAGAGTCAGCACAACGTAACCAAGGGCTAACCAGACACTTTCAGCAGAAGGCTGTAAACTGGACACCTGCTCCGCCGTTTTGAAAGGGCAGAGGTAAGTGTCAGCAGGAAAGCTTTCAAAGACATGGTGACACCAAAAGGGACTTTGTTGCCCTGGCTGGCATAGCTCAGTGGATGGAGCGTGGACTGCGAACCAAAGCATCGCAGGTTCAATTCCCGGTCAGGACACATGCCTGGGTTGCAGGCCATGGCCCCCAGCAACCGCACATGGATGTTTCTCTCTCTCTCTTGCTCCTTCCCTTCCTCTCTAAAAATAAATAAGTAAAATTAGACTTTGTCCTTGATGGACTCAGGAGGATTAAGAGGAAAATTCTAAAGAAAATACTTCCTAGTTGTGTAAGTCAGTTTTTTTTTTAAGGTTTTATTTTTGAGACAGGTGAAGGGGAGGGGGTAGAAACGTTGACGTGAGAGAGAAACTACGGTTGGTTGCCTCTCACACACATCCCAACTGGACACCAGGCCGCAACTCACGCATGCACCCTGACCGGGAATCAAACTGGCGACCTTTCAGTTTGGGGGACGACGTCCAACCCGCTGAGCCACACTGGTCAGGGCTCTGCGTCAGTTTTCAACATCATGTCTGTTTACCCACCGAAAACGAGGCACATCACCAGGTGGGCCTTTGTACTTTAGGAATTACTGGCATAATTCAAACCCATCAGTTTGGATATCTGTATTTTAAATTATGTATTTAAAAAACTGCCAGACTTCAGCTGCATCTGGGTGTGGGCTCTTCCGCTGATCTAGGTGCACAAGGTGGGAACGTACTTAGGGGCAGCAGTTAACGGCGAGGGCCGGGAAGACGACAGACCCGCGAGGACGCCGGGACTCACCGCGGAGCCTGGGCCTGAGGACCTGGGGACGGGGGCTGGAGTTGGGCAAGGGCCTTTCCCAAACTGAACAAGCGCCAGCTGCCCCGCGGGCGATGCCCCCGAGGGACCGCTTTCCCAGACCTCTGCGGACCCAGCACCCACAGCGGGGCCCCCTCACTCAGCACCACCGTGCGGCACCACCAGGGGGGCTATACCTGTTGCGTGGGCTGCTCCAATCATCCTTCCTCGAATTAACCCCTCACGCTGTGTGTTTCTTATCACTTTGATTTTCCCCGGGAGCTGTGTCTGGACAAATTCATCTAGCTGTCCTTTCAGATCATCTGAAAATAAAGAGTCCAGTAATTATTCAAACCCTATGAGACAGATACAAAACAAATGTTTTATAGCTGCTCTAAAGTTGCGTCTGGTGCTTGCAACAATCTGTCGAGTAAATGCAACAGAACCTTCTGCTTTGTTCCGAGAGGACACCGCGGCTCATCCTGTGCGAGAAAGCAGGGAAGGAAGGAGGGAGGGGAGGGCGGGCGCGGCAGTGCCGGCCGGGACGGGCAGCCGCCTCAGCGACACCTCGTCTGCGCCTCCACGGCACCCAGCACGGCGGGCTGCAGAGAACAGTCCACTGACTGCCTGTCAAAGGTTTGAAAATGAAGAAAACGAGGGGGAAGTGTCTTCTGTTCTGAAGCAAGTTATCAAGTCTTACACCACCTTGGAATAACTGAGGAACGACCCCTGTTGCCCCCACCAAAAACCCCGTAACAGCAGCAGTGACCTCCCAAGGGTGAAGAACTGCCCCCACTCACTAGGCTGCCCTTTCACTCTGACGGCGGGTTCCTCTGCTGCCCGAACACCTTCGAGTTTGACGCAGTCCCATCTGTTTATTTTTCCTTTTGTGTCCCTTGCCCCAGGAGATACAATATTGCTAAGATCAATGTCAGAGAGTTTACTGTGTGTTTCCTTCTAGGAGTTTCATGGTTTCAGGTTTTACACTTAAGTCTTTCATCTATTCTGAGTTTGTTCTTATACATAATATGAAAAGTTGGTCTGGTTTCTTTTTTTTTTTTCTTGCCTGTGCCTGTCCAATTTTATAAACACCATTTATTGAATAAACTGTCTTTACCCCATTGTATATTCTTGCCTCCGCTGTCATAAATTGATCATACAGATGTGGGTTTACTTCTGGGCTCTTTGGTTCCACCGACCTATGTGTGTTTCTGCCAGTGCCGTGCTGTTTTGATTACCATAGCCTTGTAGTAGAGTTTGATATCACGTAGTGTGAGTCCTCCAACTTTGTTCGTTTCTCAAGGTTGCTGTGGCTACTCAGGGTGTTTTGTGGTTCCATATAAATTTTAGGGTTATTTGCTCTAGTTCTGTGAAGAATGCCTTTGTTATTTTGATGGGGACTGCATTCAGTCTACAGATTGCGCTGGGTAGTATGGAAATTTTAGCAATGTCACTTCTTCCTACCCATGAACACAGTATGTGCTTCCCTTTATTTGTATCTTTCTCAGTGTCTTACAATTTCCCAAGTTCAGGTCTTTCACCTCCTTGGTTAAATTTATTCTTGAGTACTTCTTTTGAAGCAACTGTAAATGGGATTTTTTTAACAAGCACATGAATAAAATTTAGGTAAAAGGCTAATGGGAAATTACACAGTTTGGGTGAATCAAAGGAAGAATATGGCAGCCAACTGATTAATCCTTGCGTCACCAAGAATGCAGCACCCGATAATCACGTGCTTCCTTTTTTTAGTTTACATCCGATACTTTTTTGTATTAGTTTCAGGCATACGGCACAGTGGTCAGATAACCACACTCGTTACCGAGTGATCCCTGACCCACCCCACATAACTACAGTGTTACTGGCTGTGTTCCCCGTGCTGTACTTGCACGCCCGTGTCTGTGTTGTTACTACTGGTTTGCACTTCTTGACCTCTTCCCTCTTCTCGTCTCCGCCATTTCTATCAATCTCCACGTGGCTGCTTCTGTACACCCTTGTGTGCGGGACTCCGTTCAGCTAGTCTTCAGTGGGTTGTTGAGTGGGTTACTCTGGCTGCCTGTTCAGTGATTTAGCTGTAATTCCAATGTGCTCCTGGCAGGAGGTGAGTGTAACTTTTACCTACTCTGCAGCCATGCTGGCACAAACCCCAGTGGGGCCGTTTTCCTAATTCCTCCTTCTGATGGTTTATTGCTGGTGCATAAAAATGCAACCAAATTCTGAATCCTGACTTGGTACCCTGCTACTTTACTGAATTCATTTATCAGTTCTAGTGGTTTTTTTGGTGGAATCCTTAGGGTTCTGCACATGATGACAGTTCTACTTCATCTTTTCCAATTTGGATACCTTTCATTTCTTTTTCTTGTCTGATTGCTGTGGCTAGGACTGCTAATGCTACGGCGAACAAAAGCGGTGAAAGTGGACAACCTTGCCTTGTTTCTGATCCTAAGGAAAACACTTTTAGCTTTTCCCCGTTAAGCATGTGTCAGTTGCGGGTTTGTCATAACTGGCTCGAAATAAAAGATTTTTTTTTAAACATAAGCCAAGGGAAAAACTTGAAGGGCCGAGTTCGGGTACAGATTACCAAGGCACTGCGGCTTCTCCAAGAGCACCCTGCACGCCCTGGACGGGCCCTTGTCTGTGGCCGGCTCCGTCGAGCGCGCGTGCACAGGGCTCTCCCACCCGCCGTGTGGCGCGAGGTCGGCCCCGCTGCCGCCACAAGCGCCGCGGGGAGCAGCAGCCGAGACCCCGCGCCGCCGGGCGCTGCGCCCCTTACCGAAGTCGCTGTCGTCGTCCACGAGGATGACCTCGTGGAGGAGCCGGGCCGGCGTGCGGTCCAGGACGCTGTGCACCGTCCGGAGCAGAGCGGACAAGGCTTCGTTGTAGAAGCAGATGACGACGCTGGCCACCGGCAGGTCCTCGGGGTACGCCTTGTCCTTGCACCTGCAGGGAGGGCGAGAGGGCGAGAGGGCTCCAGCACCGCTCGGCCCGGCACTCCGAGTCCCCGGTACTCGCTGACTGGTGACTGCAGCCCCGCTCGGCCGCCTCCCTGCGCTGTAACAGTTTTTTAAAGGCCATTCGGGAAAACAGCATGGTTTCCTACTCCACCGTTTTCCAGTTCTTGGCAACTTCTCCCTCCGGCAAGTGTTGCTCTGCTTATGTTTAGGTCGGCATTTTAAATGGATCTTTTTTTTCTTTTTTGGTACTTAGGTCACATAAAACCATTCCAAGTTTTTACCACAGCACTGGTAAGCTGGTGATCAGCTTCCCCTCTACGAGGTTTCCAAAGGCAGTAACGGAAATATAAAACTTTGTATTTGAACATTTTGGTTTTTGCCCAACAGAAAAAGACGCGAGTGAACCGTGATAACAGAGGAGCCTCCATGTAAGCCGCCAACAGTCAGGTGGCTTTACACGCCGACGGCACAAGCCACTAACTCCCAGCACAAACCGGGATTCCGCGCTCTGCCTGGCACACGGGACAGCCCTCCGGCGCCGGGGCCTGCCCACCCCGGCCTCTGGCCACCCGTCCACGGCAGCCCAAGTGGACCGTGTCCGTCCCTTTGGCAAACTGCGCCGTTCCGGGCCTCCAGATGCTCCCCATCCCTGCACCGCCGCTGGGTCACCACCACCATGCAGCCCTCCCTGACCACTCCGGTCTGGGGGCCGCGGCACCGATTCCCGTCCCAGACCTCATCCCCCGCCACCGCGATCGCCTGTGCCCGCGTTCCCCCGCCCTGTCGGGTGGGGCGCCTGTGGGCCCCGAAACGTCTTCCCGGTGCATTCGGAGGCCTAGCGCGTGCCTAGGGGCCCGAAGACGTTCTCGCCGGCCCGTGGGGGACGGCTGACCGACCGTGTGAGGGCGGGTGAGCTGGAGTTGAAGCCGAGTCTTCACCAGGCCGGCCCAGAAAGCGCCCACGTGAACACAGAGCCTTTGGCGGAACAAATACAACGAAAACCCGAGAGTGAGGTGGTGAGCAAAATTCTCCTCCTTCCTGCCGTGAACCCAATAAATGCACATTTTAAAAAACTTATGCTTAGATTGCATAAATACATGCGGTCAGCGCCTCTCTCCTTCCCCCACATGCTTGTGACTTTCACCAGAGACGCAGGAAACTCCAGAACCTGGTCAGCGCCCCCTCAGACGCTGGGGACTGGGGCACAGCGAGGGGGGCTCTGGCGTGCGCTCCCAGCACCCTGACCAAGCCCCGGCTGCAAAGCACCCGGACGGCCCCCGGGACCCGGCGCCAGCCGGCACGTACGCTGCGCTCCGCGTGTCCGGCACGTCCCTGCGGGGGCCCAGGCGGTTGCTGATGAGCATGTTGAAGGCGTGTTTCTGGTAGCCGGCGTCTCGCAGCTCCTGGTCGTGCTCGTTGAAGATCATGCCTGCGGGGGGAGAGGTCACGGTCAGCGCGCCGACACTGCCGAAGGTCGCGGCGGTCCCTGTTACGGCCTTACGGAAACCTTGACTCTCGGTTCCGACAACCGGATAATAGCCATGTTTCTCAGTCCACCTTCAAAACAGTCAACTGAGGTTGAAGCCGAATTTTTATCAGCCCAGCTCAAAACCAAGTGTGCCTCAACCATAAAGGATGCCTTCTCACTAGTCTCTCAAGGTCTTCAAGAGAGTAACTTACCTCTGACCAAGGGAAAAGGAACCTGATGGTTATTCTCTGTAGAAGCAGTGATTCCAGAAGCCACATGGACTCAACAGGTCCCAGTCACAGGCAAGTTTTCACGGGAGGCCCTCCCACTGAAGGGGGGAACCCTCCCACTGAGGGGGGAGGCCCTCCCACTGAAGGGGGGAGGCCCTCCCACTGAAGGGGGGAGCCCTCTGCAAAGTGTCGCTGGTTCCAGGCTTGCACAGCACTGGCCAAGAAAGCCCTCTGCAAACCCACTCAAAACCCCTTCAGCCTCACAGCCCTGGAGGCCCTGCCCTGGCCCAGACTGGCCGCCTCCTGCCCCTCCCCCGCGCCCCTGCCCTACCAGGGGGCGTGCGGCCTCACAGCAGCGCCCGCCCCCCCCGGGGTCCGGGGTCCGAGCGGGCCAGTCAGTCAGGGAGACGCTGCGGTTCACACCTGAGGCCCTGGGGCTGGACAAACGGACACTCAGGTGTGAAGGGAGGGGCTGCGGAAGGCGGTGTCCCCAACTGTCTGGCCGGGGACCGGAGTACCCAGGTGCACTGCGGGAAACACCACCTCCTAACCCGCTCCGGCCGGCCCTTCGGAGTGGGCGCGCACCCGGGGCTCTTCCAGCGATTTGCAGGAGGAGCAACCTCCATCAGGGCGGAGGCTCCGGCTACTGTCAGAGCAAGAGAATAAAACAAAAACTGCTCGATGCCCAGCATCCAAAACAGTGCTGCACGACTCAGACTCTCAGCGAACCCTCCTGGGTTCGACAAACACCGAAGGACTAGCTCGTCCCAAAAATGACTGTTTTCTCATAAGGACCCTCTTGGTGAAGATTTGCTCCATATCAAAGAATCACTTTCTGTCCATCAACAAGATGAACGGGTACGAGAACGTGGTGTATACAAACAGAATGGAGCAATATTCAACCGCAGTAAAAAACATCCTGCCGTTTTCTCCCACTTGAATGAGTCTCGGGGACATTACGCCACGTGCAGCAACGCAGAGAAAGACAAACACGGTGACACCGTGTGAGTCTCACTCACGGGGCCGGGGGGGGGGGGCAAAGGAGGTCTGAGGGGTGACTCTGCCAAACAGAGCTGACTCTCGTGTCACTGTCTGTCCCTTATCGGACCATTTCCCACAGGGACGATGCAAACCTCCTCCGCCCCGCCCTGTGCACGGAACCGGTCTGCGGCGGCGGCTGGGGCAGACGGGCGAAGGCTGCGGGCCGGCACAGACGGCCAGTCACACATTCTGGATGTGGGATGAGCGTGCGGCCGCCGCAGGGGAGGCGGCCATGACGCGCATTTGCAGGGTGCTGAGCGTGGGTCTTCAAAATGGGGGGGTAGGGCATGGAGGGGGGGTCACGTCAGCTTAAGTTTTCTCCTCCTCCTGCACAAATAAAGTGACAGCCACATTCCAATGAATAATTAACGTGCCAGAGGAGCTATTTTAATTATGTAACTAGATCACATCAGAAAACCTTTTCCATTTGCCGCGGCAATCTTCCTGCAACATACTTCACGGGCTCTCTCCCGGACTGTGGGGGGTGCCCGATTCAGACATCAGCACAGTTCTGACTACTCCCACACTGACTCGTACTGATTCCTTCCAAATAAACTTCTTTAAAATCTTCTTTTAAAAGATTGTATTTATTTATGTAGAGAGAGGGAAGGAAGCGAGAAACAGGAGGGGAAGACACTGATGTGTGAGAGCTGCACTGATCGGTTGCCTCTCGCGCGCCCCCAGCTGGGGACCTGGCCTGCACCCTGACTGGGATTCGAACTGGGGACCCTCCGGTTCGCAGGCCGGCACTCGATCCGTTGAGCCACACCGGCCAGGGTTTTTTTTTTTAATCTTTAATAGCCCCTGGCAGAGTTTATCTGGGGAAGTGGATCGGCCTGAAAGCAGGAGGCTGAGACAGCAGGCGAGCTTCATGGCACCTTGTGATGGGCGGGGCACACGGAGGCCGAACAGCAGAGCGAACCGGCGCCGGGCGGTCGCTGCCTGCTCCCGCCGCGGCCACCTCAGCGCGCGGAAGCCCCGTGGGACCAGACGCCGGTGTGAGCGGCGGTGCTTTCCTAAGTATTTGGCTCTGAGCACGTCTCCAGGGTTTTTTTTTTTTATTGTATTTTTTCTATCACCACGTAACCCCCTTATGCCCATATCCGCGCCCCCCCCCCGCCATCACCGCACTGTCGTCTGCGTCTGCGAGTGTTTCCCCCCTCCCCACCCCCCACCCCCACCCCCACCCCCACCCCAGGGCCGCCGCCTGCTCTCCGTCTGTGGTCCCGGCTGTTTGGCGCATCAGTTCAGCCTGTTCATCGGACTCCACACGCGGGAGACATCGTGCGGCCCTGTCCTTGTCCAGCTGACTGGCTTCATTTGGTGTAACGCTCCCCGGGTCCATCCACGCTGGGGAAGTGAGTACAAGTTTCCTTTTTCACGGCTGAGGCGTACTCCACCGTGCAAATGTCCACCGCTGTTTTATCCACTCACCCACTGATGGGCACCTACTTACTGATGGATGCTTCCAGATCTTCAGGGGCTGTAAACAGTGCCACAGTGAGCACGGCGGTGCTTATCTCCTTCCAAATTAGCGTTTCAGGCTTCTTCGGGCAAATTCTCAGCAGTGGGATCGCTGGGTCCCAAGGGAGATCCGTGTGCAAGTTTTTGACGCATCTCCACACTGCTTCCCGTTTGTTGATGTCTCGATGACAGCCATTCGGACAGCTGTGAGATGATACCTCATCATGGTTTCAGTTTGTATTTTCCTGATGATTGGTGACGCTGAGCATCTTTTCATGTCCACTGCCCATCTGTATGTCCTCTTTGGAGAAAGGTCTACTCACTCCCTTTGCTCACTTTTTAATTGGATTTTTTCCTGGTGTAGAGTTTTATAAGTTCTTTATACGTTTTGGATATTAACCCCTTATCAGATGTATTGGTGAATATGTTCTCCCAGTCAGTGAGTTGTCTTTTATTTTGTCGATGATTTCCTTTGCTGTGCAGAAGCGTTTTAGTTTGATGTGGTTCCATTTGTGTATTTTTCCTTCTGCCTCCCTTGCCTGAGGAGATATAGCAGAAAAAATATTCCTAAGAGCCACGTCTGAGATTTTACTGCCCGTGTTTCCTTCTGGGGTTTTTATGGTTTCGGGTCTAACATTTAAGTCTTTAATCAATTTTGAATTTGTTCTTGTGTGTGGCAGCGTAAGAGGTGGTCTGGTTTCGCTTTTCTGCACGTATCTGTCCACTGTTCCCAGCACCGTTTGTTGCATAAACTCTCTCTAGCCCACTGTACGTGCTCGCTTCCTCTGTCAAATGGCAACGGGCGGCAAAGGCGCGGGTTTAGTTAGGGGCTCTCCGTCCCGTCCCACTGCTCTGGCCGAGGTCTTGTGTCAGAGCAGGCTGCTGGGAGGACTGCGGCCTTGTAGTATAGTTTCATATTAGGTGGTGTGATTCCTCCAATTTTGTTGTGCTTTCTCAAGATCGCCTGTTGCTGTTTGGGGTCTTTTGCGGCTCCATGCGCGTTTTTGAAATACTTGTTCCAGTTCTGTGAAGTGCAGCGCTGGCATCTCGATGGGAATGGCACTGCATCTGTGGGTGCCTCGGGCAGCGTGGACACTTTCACGGCGCTGATTCTTCCACTTACTTGTGTCGTCTTCAGTGTCTTTCTCCAGCGTCTTGTAATTTCCCGACTGTTGACAGCGCCCCACTCAGAAATCAGGATACTTTCAACTGTTACTGTACTAACTCACATCAATTCCTTTTACGTGAACTTTTCCCTGTTAAGGAATTTCGTGGGCTTTCTCTCACTGTTTGGAGTACAGTAGCACGTACAGGCGTAACGCATGTGCCATCCGTGGCCGCTGGGGCCGTCACCCCCCCTCGCCTCCCCCCCCGGCCCCTGGCGAGCCACTCACCTGCTGTCTTTTTCGGTTTGCTCACTCCAGACGTTTCGTGCAGAGGAAGTCGCACACTGTTTGGCCTCCTGTGTCCTGACTCCCTCCCTCCGGATGTTTTTAAGACCCACCCGCGTTGTAGCACGCGGCGTGACTCCACTTCCTCCTGCGCCCAAACAACGTCCGCGCACCGACGCCTCGGGCCGTGCCGCCTGCCCTCCCTCGGCAGCGGGTGGACGTCCGGGCCGTCGCCGCTGTGCGGCCACAGAGAGGAGTGCGGCTGTGACCACCTGCACTCAAACTTCTGTTCAGTCTCCAGCGTGCAACTCTTTGGGTGCACACCAGGGGGTGTGGAGTGAATCTCTAGGGCACACGGTGACTCCACACTTACTTACCGAGGGCTCTTCCCACGGGCTGCACCCTTTCTCCTCGCACCAGCGATGCACGAGGGTCCCTGTTTCTCCACACCCTCACCAACACTTGCCACTTCCCTTCTTAAATATTGGAACCCCCCTAGCGAGTGTAACACGGCACCTCACTGTAGTTTCGTTTTGCAATTCTGCAGTAACTAACATGCTGAACATCTGTTTATGCGCCGGTTTCTCCTTGGGAGCAGCGTCTGTCCCGTCCTCTGCTCGGCTTGAACCGAGCTGTGTGTTCGCCCCTCCGCTGCTGACGCGTTCAGAGGCCCCGCGCCGCTCCGGTGGCGACGGGCCCACCAGAGAGACGGTGCGCGAGCACGCTCTCCGCCCTGCAGGCCGTCCTCCCCATCTTCTCGGGGGGGCGGGGCGGGGGGCTCTCCGACGCACGGCAGTTTCTCATGCCCACGCAGTCCAGTTCGTCTGTTTTTCCTTTTGTCGCTTGCACCTCTGGCGTCATAGCTGAGAAACCATCGCCCAATTCACAGTCACGAGCATTTATCCCTACGATTTCCTCCGGGGGTTTTATGACTTAAGCTCCTACGCTGAGGTCTGATGTGTTGTTCTGAGTTCATGTAACGTTCACCTAAGTCACGAGGTGAGGGCCTGACTCCATCCCTCTGCACGCGGGGAACTGACTAGCTGTCCCACCACCACTTGCTGAAAAGACTGTTCTTTCCCCAGTAAATGGCCTCGGCACCCTTTCTGGAAATCTGACTCCCTGCAGATGTCACTGGGCTCATTTTAGATTCGTCGGTCTGTCCGCTCACCCGCGTCTGTCCCTCCGCCAGGACCGCACTGTCTGATTTCTGCAGCTCCGTAGGAAGCGTGAGCCCTTCGCCGGGACGTGCGAGTCCTCTGACGTGGTGGACCTCTTCCAGGGTCGTTCTGGCTGTCCAGAGCCCCGTGCAATCTGTGAACGGAGGAAGGGGTTCCACGGAAAGTGACCGCATGGGGCTCTGGCCGTAACCCCCAACCGGACAGGCCGTGGTGGGCGGTCCTGCCCCAGGCACACAGCTTCCTCACCAAAAGGCCGTCCCTACCGGAGCCCTGCCCACTGGTTCCACGCACCCAAGCCGGCACCCTGGGAGGGGCCCTTTCAGACCCCCTCAGGGAACACACCGGCTTCACCGCCCCGCAGCCCCGCCCCCAGCTGCTTCCTCCCGCGTCCGCGTGACCTTTCCTCCACCCTCCCCCCCCAACTTCTCACTCGGGGTGCACTCTGCTCCTCTCGGACGCACTGACCCGGGCAGTGACCCCTTGCTTCCAGGTGCATCCTCTTTCGGGCGCAAGTAAACTTTTACAAACATTCTCTACAGGTTTGGACATTTCTTTGTCGACAAATCCAAATTAATTCCAGAATCGGCTCTTCTGCCCCTTCAGCAAAGGCCGCCGGGGTTCAGGTAAAGTCTGCACCCCCCTGCGGACGGCCTCAGGCGGCACTGACAGTCCGGCGGTAGTCCGCGTTCCGGCCCGCACCCCTGGGCGTCTCGCCCCTCGTTCAGAGCTACTCCGGTGGTTCCCGCCGTGGTTCGTGGCTGTCCGTGTACAGACCTCACACCTGCTCGGTTAAACCTATTCCCCGGTATTTCATCCTCCTGGATAGGACTGTCAGTGCGACTGTTCTCTTCATTTTACCTTCAGGCCAGTCGTCACTAGTGTGCAGAAACACGGCTGCCGTGTGTGTGTGTTGGTCTTACACACCCTGCAACTTTGCTCAGGTCACTTATTAGCTGTCATAGCTTTTGTTTCCTCTTTAGAATCTTTTATAAAGAATTTAGTTGTTCAGTCAAGCAATTTGGGTTTGGTACTTCAAACAGCTACAGTTCTCTCACTGCTACTTCCAAAGGCAAATACAATGCCCATTCAAAATGGTAAACTAGCCCTGGCTGGTGTGGCTCAGTGGATTGAGCTCTGGCTGCGAACCAAAGCGTAGCCAGTTTGATTCCCAGTCAGGGCACAGGCCTGGGTTGCAGGCCAGGTCCCCAGTAGGGGTGCAATAGAGGCAACCACACACTGGTGTTTCGCTCCCCCTTTCTCCCTCCCTTCCCCTCTCTCTAAAAATAAATAAAATCTTTAAAAAATGGTAAACTAACTTACAGAAACTTTACCAAAATAACTATGAATAAAAAACTAGATAATCTTAAAATGTCTAAGCGAGCAGCTTTTAAAAAAAAGATTACAAGGGGTATTTCATGAAAACTGAAGTATTAGCTTCTGTTTCCTCATATAATTTTAAATACTTTTGACTTCATGTATTAGAATATCACTAACTTCCCAGAAAATTATTTTTTGTCTTTGAAACCACAATCAAATGAAAATAATGTTTTAACATTTCCTTTACATTCTATGAGTCTTTCAATCTCTCAAAATCTTTTACTAATTACTTATTTGATGCTTCCATGACAAGATCAAATTTTTTAAGTTTTAAAGAAAACCAAAAGGGCTCATTTATCCCATATTAAAATACTGCTAAAACCAGGACTCTGGAATTAAAATATTCTAGAACATACACAGCAGATTCTTGCTGCCAAGTTGAACAGAATACAATTTTTGAAGGGGAAAAGTTTCTATTTGATCGATCCCTGTATCTGACACAGGTGTTCCAACACCTGCACCACCCGGACCGGCGGAAACCCCGCACCAGCGACCGCAGCTGGTTCCAGACCAGGCGGCTTCTGTGCCGCAAGTGGCCGCGGTGGCCCCGCGCCTTCCCGGCGGGTCCGACGCGGCCGTGCTTCAGCCGCCTCGCCCCGCGTTAAACAATGACAGCGATTCCACCCCCCCCAGGGTCCACTGTCTCCCCAGCCGTCACCCTTCATTTTCTTTTCTGCATCTCATTAGTTTCTCCCAGTCCGCCTAGAACACTGACGTCGGAATCGGACACATTAGCACAGAACGCCCCTCGGTCTGCAAGAGTCACAAGGACGCCAGCCAGCCCATAAAGGGGATAAGCCGGCGGGCAAAGACGGCACCTCTGACTGCCTGAGCAGCACACGGCCAGGAGGGCCGCCGAGACTTAGCCTCCCGAGGATGAAACGTGCGCGCACACGCCGGTGGCGGGAGTCAAACCCACTCACCCAGCTCGGACGAGGACTTCGGGGCGCCTCCCTCCGCCCCTTCGGCGCGGGCGTCCGCCCCGCCCCCGCCCCCGCGGGCTTGGGGCTGCTGCTCCTCCGGCGCCCGGCCGGGGCCCCGCGTGAGGCGGGGCTGGAGCTTCTTGGGGAACGGCCCGTGGGGCCCCGACCCCTTGACGGGCACATGCCGAAGCGGCTGGGTCACGTCACTGAAGTTGAAGTACACGAAGAGCAGGGCCGTCCAGGCCGCGGAGGTGAACAGGCATCCGTAGCAGAAGTAGCGGACCGTGGCACTTCCCATCATAGCCCTAGCACCGCCGAGGGGCCATCGTCGGTGTCCTGAAAGAGAGGACAGATGTCGGACGCTCGGGTCACCTGTGTGCACCGCCACCGAGCTCCCACTCACGGCCGCCCAGACCCCCGAGGCGCACTCCCGACTCCGGAGGACCCCGGCGCGCCCCATGAAGACTCAGGCACGACGACACGCGTGGACAGCCGGACTAACCCAACAAAGTCCACAGTCAGGCCCACAGGCCAAGGTGTCAGCGCTCACACGGGCAGCGGCAGCAGAGCAGAGGGCTTACTCACCCGCCCACGTTAACGGGCGCCGCTCCCTGCCTCGGCCCGGACTGCCGTGGGCTCGGGGGTCTTCTTCAGATTCCAGCTTCTAACGAGGAAGACGCCAGCACGGCAGCACCTGACGGCACACGCAAGGTCCCCTCCAGACGCAAAATCTCAAGACTGCTTTAACCCAGGAACCCTAAAATCTGTTTTAAAAATAAGCAGCTTAAAAAAGTAGTTCTACTTTCTGATCAAAGGTTAAACCTACCCTAATGCTACTCCAGATTAAACAGTTACACTTTAAATTTATAATTGAAAGAGTTCGAATTCCATTTTCCTTCTCGTTATGAGGGCCGATAAACAATACAGCACTGCGGTTTTTTCCCGAGCTTTCCGATGCTGTCTGGCCTCCGTGGTGGCCTCACACCCCCCCAGAGGGCTCTGTGGAAGGAGACCGGGGGTGCACAGGGCAGCCTCCGTGGGCACTGAGGCAGGGAGACCCCGCGTGAGTGAAGCGCACACAGAGGAAATCTGCGAAGCCACACTGACGCGTCACTTCTTGCCTCCACAGTACGTAATGGTTTTAAAAATAACAGCACCATCCCTCCACCCCCAAATCTCAGGAGAAGGCCAATCGGCGTTGGTTAAGTGTCGCTTCAGAAATCAAGTTGTTTTGGCCCTGGCTGGCGTAGCTCAGTGGATTGGGCGCGGGCTGGGAACCAAAGTGTCCCAGGTTCAATTCCCAGTCAGGGCACATGCCTGGGTTGCAGGCCACAGCCCCCAGCAACCACACATTGGTGTTTCTCTCTCTCTTTCTCCCTCCCTTCCCTCTCTAAAAATAAATAAATAAAATCTTAAAAAAAAAAGAAATCAAGCTGTTTTGTACGTAATGCCATCGGCCTAGAAGAAGAGGGTGGTGGGTAAACAGCTCGATTTCTCAGCTGTCTACCAACCGAGTGGTTATTTTACTGCACGTCAGTTAAAACACTTAAAAAGCGAACAAAACCAGCGACGACACCAAACAAAACCCCCGCCGCAACCGTGCTGGAGCGGCGGCTGGGAACCCCTGCCGCGCGGAGGGGAGTCCGGCGCGCGGGAGCGCCGTCCTGTGGGCTGTTGGCACGTGCGCACGGAGAAGACCCGCCGGTGGGGACGACTGCTCGACCCAGAAGCGGAAGAAACCAGTCTCCGAGCAAGGGGAATGCAGCCATCAGGCAAGTAAGACAGAGAGTTGCAAGTTTTCGACTTTGCAACAACTGTGTAAACAGAGAGTAGGGACAGGCGAAACATGGTATTCTAACTCACAGAGACGTCACACCGTCCTGAAACAGTCGCTCCAGGGCGGGCAGGGACGAGCAAACAGCCTCACAACGAGAACACCGTTCCCGGGAGCCCGCGGCTGAGACGACCGCAGGGCGGCTCCGACCGCAACCCCGAGCGCTGCCTCTCCGGGGCCAGGAGCCAGCCCCGCTCCCACGATGGGCCGAGGCTTCCACCGAGGTCCCTTTCCTTCCGCTGCCGCCCCGGCCTCCCTCGCTGTGGGCGCTTATGAACACACGCGGGGAGGATTAAGTATCTTGAGGCTCTGAATCTCAGAAGCAAACGGGGACTTCAGCACACTAAGAGGAAGGGATGATCTATTAACATGTCAAAAATTTAAGAGTGACATTGGAACAACGAACGAGCAGTCTGAAAGCACGATGTGAAAATCGTTTTTTGTTGTTTTTTTTTTCACGAGCCACGGAGCCACAGCCTCGTCTGGAACCCCTTCGCCTCGCCCACTGTGCGTCTTTTTCACGCCAGGCCCGGGGGGGGGGGGGGGGGGCAGGGCGCTCTAGCCACACAGGACAGCGCTCCCTTTCCTGCAGCGCAAAGTGACTGTCACGATACCCAACGTGGCTCACAGTGTCTCCCTTTAAACGTTAAGTATTCCCTTTCAGCGGTTTCCAGCCATTTTCTCGTCAGTGCACTCTCTGTTCCGAACTGCCCAGAAGCAAATACTTGTTGTTTTTCCCGTGTGAGGGACACATCCAGATCTCGGCGGCACTCGCGCGAGTGTGCGCACTGACCCACGACGGCGCCCGCCCCCGACGCCTGTGAGATTACCAGGTGCCGACAGACAGCACCGAAACGCACCTCCCCCCTCCTCCCTCCCCTCACCCACTGGCCTCTGAGCAGGACCAGGAGGAAGCCCTGCCCCGGCGCGCTGCCCGTGGCACGCACGAGACCACTGAGACCACTGACAGAGGAGCGAGACCACTGATGGAGGAGCGGCGCAGAGCGAACCTCAGACCCCGCACGCTCCCCGGAACCCCTCCTCTGACGGCCCCCGATGCCGCTGAGCCCCCCGAGGAAACCCACAGAGAACGCACGCACAGGTAGTGTCTGTTTCTGCCGCAAACGCACAGGGAAACCACCACACGGTGGTGTCAACCGGAGAAAAGCAAAATTAACCAATTAAACACTGAAAGTGAAACCAAAAGGGCAGGCAGCATGACCACGCGCCTGGGACCCCCGTGTCCACGCAGGGAAACACCCTCACGGCATCTGTGTCCCCCTCCGTCCAGGGCCCCGGCCCTCGACGTGCCGGCACCGGGGGCCGTAAAACCGAATGCAGTCGGCAGCCGAGCAGACAGAGGAGGAGGGCCGGAGGAAAATGGGGTACACCCCCCTCCAAAGAAACTTAAATCCCAGCAGCTCTGCCGCTCAGCCAGCCTCCAGGCCCCAACCCCCGGCAGAGGGACATAACTCGCCTAGTACACCACCAGCCACGCCCCAAACCACGAGAACAACAGCCTCCTGTTCTCCTTCTCCTCGTGAAAGGGGAATGAACCCCAAGGACATCTGAAGGGCGACCACTTCCAGAGGGCACAGCCTTGCCTCCCCCGCCACCCGAGCCCGCCTTGCTTCCTCCCGCCTTCACGGGACACTCCCGGAGTCCCCTCCTTAATCTCCAATGCATGACAGAAGCTGCAAACTCCTTTATTTTTTTAAATTTTATTTACTTTTAGAGACGGGGGCGGGAGGAGGAGAGGGAGAAAAAGAGAGGGAGGGAAACATCAGCGTGAGAAAGAAACATCGATCGGCTGACTCCTGTATGTGGCCAGGCAGGGGACCGAGCCCGCGACCCAAGCACGTGCCCTGACCTGGAATGGAACCAGCGACCTTTGGCTTTGTGGAACGACGCCCGGCCCACTGAACCATGACGGTCAGGGCTGCAGAGAGCTTTCACGAGAATCTGTCTGAGCCAAACTGACCACTTGTGCTGCGGAGCGAGGTCTCAAATGCCCCCAGGAACGACGGCCGTGCAGTTCCTCTGGGGGAACAAGGAGCAGCATTCCCGGAGGGCGGGACACGGCGAAGCACCGGGACGGGGCGGCGGGCCGGGCCGCGTGCTGTCTGGGGGTGGTTCCGCCTCAGTCCAGGGGGCGGTGCACGCGGGGGAAGGGTGGCTGTGCTAACCTACCGCACAGACGCACCCACGGGTCAGGGCTTGCGGCAGAGACAAGCCCTTGGCTAAAGCCCTCACGCTGCTCCTGGGTCGTGACTCCCCCCACGACCTGCCCGGGCGGAAATGTGTGACCAGGTCGCCCTGGGAGGTACTTTCCACAGAACCCCCTTTCTCGCCCACACTTCGTGAGGTGACTGTCCAATCGCTACGTTTCATACCTGAGCTGATATAATAATGTCTGTCAACCATAACTGAAAGGTAAATTTTTAAAAATTAGGAAGTGGGGGGTGGCTCCTGCTTAGCAGCCCACGCCCAGCCTCAGCACAAGAGCCGGACAGACTGGAAACCAGCGGGGTTTCCGGACCCGTCGGAGAACTCGGGGTGCAGGGCCGGCAGCCACCCCACCTGGGGACACGCAGCCGCGTCTGCCCACCTGGAGCGAAGGCCTCTGGAGCCGGGCGCTGGGGCGAGAGGCTCGGCGCGAACTGGAACGGGCGTGGGAGTCGGACCCCCGGGTGTGGTCTTCAGGGGCGGGCACTCTTCTGTGGGCTTTACCTCCAGGAACCCCACCAGGTCCTCAAGGTGAAGGTGAAGATCCCGGAAAGGCCCTCTGGTGAATCTGGCCGGGAGGGAGAGAGTCATCAGTCTTCCGCATAAAAATGGCCGGGACGAGAGGCCCCTCCCACTCCAGCCCCGTCCAGCCCTCCCATCAAATCGAGGGGGGAAAGGTGATCGGCAGAGGTCAAGGCCAGGAGGATACTGGGAACTCCGCAGCTAGCAAAGGGACTGGGCGGCGAGGGGAAAGGAAGCCACACCGCCCGTGGAGGACACAGGCTGGACCCCCGGGACCATCCCAGGGGTCTCACCCCCCCCTCACTCTGCCGCCAGAGCGGCAGCTGACGACCCTTCTGCTCTAGGTCATGTCCACCGGCGCCGACCACGGTCTGGGCCGTAAAACACAGTTTACCGGACATAAAATCTGCAGGCACAATGAAATGAAACCAGAAACCCACAAAACAAAACTAAAAAAACCCAAAAAACAAAAAACCTCAGGTATCTGGAAATTAAATAGTATGGAGAGACCTTTAAAATTACTTGGAACTGAAAATTAACACGGAAGTTTGCCGGTGCGGCAAAGCAGCGCTCGGAGGGGATTCAGCATTAAGCCACGCGTCAGAAGGGGAGGAAGGTGCGGAATCGGTGCCCTGAGCTCCCCCCTTGGGACCGGAGAAAGAAGAGCAGCTGTGTGGTAAGACAATGAATGATAAAAATCAGAACAGACACCAACTACACTGAAAACAGAAAAAAAAAAAATCAGTGAAACCAAAAGCTGGTTCTTTAAAAAGACCAACCAAATTGATAAACCTCTAGGCAGGCTACCCACTCGTCACTCCCCCCTCCAAAAAAAAAGCGGGGGAGAAGACGCACACGCCAGCATCAGAAACGAAGGGTGGGACATCGCCACCCATCCATTCCCGCGGACGTCCAAAGGGTAATAGAGAAACACCACAGACAGACAGAACCCGAGAGGAAAGGGACCAGTTCCCCGAGGCTACCGAACTTCCCACCTAAAACCCGCACAGAAGAAATGTCCGCAGCGACTGTCCCCATGACGGCCTCGATCGGGAAGCGATGAAGGCGCCCCTCACAGGGTGGGTGGACGGACAGAACGTGACACCACCATACAATCACACATTGTTCTGCAAGATGAAACAGGGAGAAAGCGGAGAGGAGGGAGGCAAGAGCGGGAGGGAGGGAGAAGTGGCGGGGGGGGGGGGTCAGGCCACACCAGATACGGAAGAGTCTGGGGTGCATTTTATGAAGAAGTCGGCTCGGAAAGGCCCCTGCCGTGCGATTCCCGCTGCAGGACATCTGCGTCCTGGGAGAGCGAGCGTGCAAACACGACCCACAGCTCGGCGGGTGCCAGGGGCTGGAAGGCTGGGGAGGGTGGGGTGAACAGGCACAGCACAGATTTCGGCGGGGGTGGGGGGGGGTGGTAAAGCTATCCTGCGTGACCGTAAAGAGGCCGACACAGAGCGCTGCTCGTGTGGGACCCACAAACCGCACCTAACAGAGAGTGAGCTGGGTATGGGGGTACGTATCTCACCCAACAAATGCCCCCCGACCGTGACCCTCACCTGAAGGTGCGGGATGCCGTCTGGCCGGGGTGGGGCAAAAGCAGGTCACAGTCGCTCGTGTGGAAAACAGCGCCCGACCAGTGAATACGGACGCGGGAATAAACGGGTTCCCGTGCTCACAGCCGGAACCCACTCTAGCCCCACCCCGTACGTGGGTTTCTAGGGTTAGAACGAGCTCACAGGGTCGAGTCCTCAACTGTTTTCTAACCCGCACCCAGGGATGTGTCGGGGGGTTTTAATGGATTTTGGTGGGGGGAGAGAAAGAGAGAGAGAGGAGCATCAAAGTGAGGAACACCCACCGGCTGCCTCCCACAGCACACCACCTGGGGACCGAACCCGTAGCCCAGGTGTGCACCCTGGCCAGGGACCGGACCTGCAACCCTCTGGTGTACGGAGCGACGCTCCGACCCCCAGCCACCCGGCCGTCAGCACTCCACTAATTCCTGTGCGTGGAGTCAGAGGACACAGACTCTGTGTGTTCGGTGTTATTTGTGCACGATAACTAACCACTTCCTCCTGACCTCTCCTTCTCCACTGAATAGTACAAGTGTCACCGAAGACTAGCTTCACTGGAGTCTCTGGCCCACGGTGCTCACACGGAAACGCACGGTGAAGGGTGTGCGTGGGCGCAGGGCGCACCGTCGGAAGGGCGGACTGGGCCGGTGGAGGAAGGCTCCGAGAGCCGAGTGCACGCTCCAGATTCGACCTGAGTGGTTCTCGGCCGGGGGCTGGGGTACTGGGCAACCCCCACTGCCTCCTGGCAATGTCTGGGAATGCTCGTGGCTGTCACAACGGGGGGATTCTACCAGCATCTGGTGGGCAGAGGTCAGGAGTGCTGCTGAACGCCCTGCGGTGCCAGGGCAGGCCCCCAGCAACAGAGAGGCATCTGGCCCGGAATACCACCCGTGCCCAGTCCGAGAACCCTGTCCCATCCTGCTGTGCACGGGCTGGGAACCTGCACACTGCGTTTTTCAAGCTACTTGGATAAATCTTGGAAATCCGTATGGAAAAGTCTTCAGTCGCAGTTAGTAAAGACATGCAAATAAAAATATGATGCTATTTTCTAATGATTGAATTAGCAATGTTTTAAATTCTCTCTGAAGTACAAAGTATTGATAGTTAAATGATGCATTTATCACCAATCAAATTATAAATTGCAGACCATTTTTACAAAAGAATTGGACCGTGACACAGAAGCCTTAAAAACCTGTATACCCCTGGTCACTTTCTCTAAGTCAGAGAACAAATATCCCACAAAAATGATAAATAAGGTGAAAACCTCAGGCATATCCAAAAGCAAACTCTAAAAAGTAGTACAATAAAGAAAGATACAAACTTTATAGGAACCAGTATGGAGGAGAAGTTAATTTTGTATGAAACACTTAAAGAAAATTTCTTACAGAAACTGAGACTTAAGTCTGACTTTAAAGATGGGAACTTCAGTGGCCAAGCACTGCAATATTTCCAGCAGAAAGCTCGCGTCTTGGGAAGCCGCCCGTGAGTTTGTTTTCAGTTTTCCACTCGGAACAGCACTCGCAGCAGCTGGCCCACTGAATGCACGCCGGCCAGAGGAGGCTGGGGGCGGGTCATTAATTCCGCGAGGACAGGCGAGGGCCCTGGCCCCCAGGAGATTAACCTGTTCTGCGTGCAACAGAGCGTCTGTAAGCCCATTCTAGGAGCGGGGTGTAAAACTGTTTGGAATAGAGGGGCAATAAAAAAAAACTAGAACCACGGAGTCCAGAAATAAATATTCCAATGACAGCTTCATCTGGAGCTGCGGAGGTCAAAGGAGAGGAGAACCAAAGGCAGAGCCCTCTGCACCCACCACCTGACCAAACTGGGACCCTCAGGGAGGTGGGGGGACAAAACCGCCACCAGCAGCCTTCACGTCCTGATGGCGGGGAGCATGGGGGAGCAGGCTATGGAGGGTGCAGGGGTGAGTTCTGTCTCCAACAGGTTGCCTTCGAGAGCACCCTGACATGGAGGCACCCTAAGCCTTAGAGGGCAGTTGAAAGTAAACACCAAGGCTGTAGTCTAAGGGACAGGGACGTCACCGCAGAGGAGGGCCTAAGGAATGAGCAGCGTCATGTGCACCGGGGAGCAAGCGCGGCACCTCCGGTGCGAAGGCAGAGCCGGGGAGGGACCTCAGAAGTCATTGCATCGGAGAACCTCTAGAGGGCGCGCTGTCCTGAGACAGCAGGTGCCTCGGAGACTGGCATCGAGCGAGGGGGTTCCGGCGGGGGTCATCAGACTTAGAACTTAGGTCAGGCCAGCAGAGGGTCCAGTTGGGGGCCATCAGACTTAGCAATAAGGAAGGCGTGAGGGTCTGTAAGAAAGCGGTCCTAAACTGTGAAGAGTGTGGTAGATCCTCGAGTTAAACATAAACTTGCCACAGGACCCAGCAATTCCCACCCCAAAGGACAGATACTCCAATGTACAGGTAACCACAGACTCACAGTAGCATTTCGCCTCGCAGCCAGAAGGAGGGGACAGCCCAAGCACGCCAGCGGGTGAACGGGTAAACGAACCCTAGCCGGCGGTGCAGCTGAGGACCGTGCGGCCACACCGAGGAACAAGCTCTCACAGCACCCTAACAGGGTGGGCCTCGACCATTACGTAAATGAGCCAGATTCGAGCGGGTGAGCATTGCATGAGCCCACTTCCGCCAGGTCTCCAGAACAGGCCCGTTCATAGACGGACAGGGGCGGGAGATGGGCAGTGACTGCCCAGTAGCTGCCCAGACTGTCTGTCCAGGGGGACAGAAAACTCGGGACGGAGACAGTGTGACGGTGACACGATACTGTGAGTGCACTTAACACGTCTGCAGTGTGTGCTTACAGTGGTCAGCACAGTAAACTTCACGTCCCCGGCCGGGTGGCGGCACTGGTGGCAGCGACGCCCTGTAAACTGAAAGGCTGCCCGCCTGACCCCCCAGTCAGGGCACTCGCCCCAGGTCAGGATGTGCATGGGAGGCCGCCGACCCGTCTCTCTCCCTCCTTCCCTTCCCCTCTCTCTGAAATCAGTGAGCACGTCCTCCGGTGGGGGTAAAAAATAAACAAAAAAAGTCCTATCACACACACAGTCACACCTCAGTGCTTGGCCTCAGAACTTGTCACACGCGGACGAGAAGAGAAGTCTCAGCACTGTGCGCTCGCTGGGGACTCGCGGCACTTGCCAGTCCAGCACCCGCCCACCAGAGCAAATGCTTCAGCACTCCTCGCCTGTTGGGCACTTGTCAGGTTCCAGCACTCGTCACAAGTGCTGGAACAAATTAAGGACGAGTACCGAGGTGCCACTGTATTTTATCACAGGTTTGTTTTTTTTTTTTAAGTTAAAAAAAAAAAAAAGAACGCCAGTTGCAAGGAATCCCATGGAAACTGGCGACAAAGTTGACAGTTGAGGACATGGAGGGCAGGCTGTCTGCTCTTGAGTTTTCTGAAGGCTGCAGAGCAGGTCTCCACACACTGTATTTCTAGGTAAAAGGGAAGAACTGAGTGAATGAAAAAAGCCTGGTCTGCCCTGGCTGGTGTGGTTCAGTGGGTTGAGTGCTGGCCTGCAAACCAGAGGGTCCCTGGTTCGATTCCTGTCAGGCAGGGCACATGCCTGGGTTTCGGGCCAGGTCCCCAGGTGGCAGGCGGGGGAGTGTGAGGGGCAACCACACATTTCTGTTTCCCTCTTTCTCCTTCCCTTCTCCTCTAAAAATAAATAAAAAATTTTAAAAAGCCCGGTCTAAAACTGTGATTTGGGGGAGGCGTGCAGCACCACAGTATTTTGGGGGTGCACCGGAGTATAAAAGCCCATGCAAAGTTACAACTTCATTTTATTTGGAAAGCCAACCAAAAGGAATGCGGCGGCAGATCGTCGACGACACGGACGACGCTGACCCATCAGGAGCGCATTAATATCCTCAAAAGGGTGAAGTCTATCGGATTTTGTGTATTTTGATACTTGTATATTCAACCGAACGGCACTGATTTTAAGAATGCAGCAAACTGTGCAAGACCAACAACCCAATTTCTTCAACTTGTATGTTGCAAAAGAAACGAAAAGGAAAAGGCTCATCGGTGGCCCGGGTTAAAATCCTGATTGGCACAAAGCAGCCGTAAGAAAAAAAAAAATTTTTTTGGTGAGACTTGGAGGGCAATGTAAATATTGTGGGCACCGGGGGCTGGGTCCGGGAGGGGGCGCGTTATTCGATCCTCTCGGGGTTTTGTTTGGAATTTCCCGCAACCCCTCCTGGGCAGGGGAGCCGCAGTGGGGGCTCCGGCCTGTGGCCCCCGGACCCGTGTCCACGATCGCGGCGGCCCGCACCCCCGCAACCGAGCGCGAGCCCCACCGGAAATCACTCGGGGCGGGCGCCGAGGTCTCCGGCGTCTCCTCGGTCCACACCCGCGCCTAAAGAGCCGTGTTCGGGGTTCCGAACGCCAGGCCCGACCGCCAGACACTGCAGGGGGCCGGGGCGCAGCCCGCAGCTCTCCGGCCCCCGGCGCCCCAGTTGCGCGCCCGAGGCGCGGAGCGGGGACGGTGGCCGCGCGGGGTCACACGCCGCAGCCCGGCCGCGCACTACTCACCCCCACGCCGGCAACACAGGATCCCGGCCTTCTGGGACTCGGGCTGTGGCATCTTCCCTCCCGCCACAGCCCAAGTCCGCGCCGCACTGGCCGCAGCGGGCGGAGCTGGCCGGGAGGAAACGCAGCGCCGGGGGCGGGGGGGGGGGCGGTGGCGGTGGCGGTGGCGGGCTGGCCCAGGCCCGGGGGGCGCTCGCCCGCTGCCCGCGCCGCTGCGGAGGCTGGAGCGAGAGCGCCCGCCGAGGCCACGTGACCGAGGCCCCGCCCCCGCGCGCCGCGGGTGACGTCACTGTCCGCAGGTGCGCGCCGCGGCCCCGCGGTGCCCTCGGACGCGCCGTCTGTCCCGGGCGCTGTTTGGGTTTTTCCTTCATGGAAACGCCCGCGTCAGACCCTTAAACGTAAGACAAGGTGGTCGGCGCCACTTACGATACGCGAAGTGCAGGTTGGACTGTAAAGGTGGAGGCCCTGTGCTCCCGGCAGCTGTGCAAAAACCTCCTGGCTCGGTGGGGGAAGCTGTGCAAAAACCTCCTGGCTCGGTGGGGGAGTGCAAAACCTGCATTTTGCCGAGAGCTCGAATGACCCTGAAATGCCCTTTGCGGAGTGGCGTTGTGGTTGAACCCGGGGTCAGTAAGTGCTCAGCAAGTGTCAACCCTTAATTATTTCACACCGGCGTGTCTTAGGATAAATTCCTAGAAGTATGCTTTCGTTGTAGAACTCCCGAGCTTAATTTAAGGTTTGTCGGAGCATTGGGTCATAATGGTGTTTTGTGAAAAGCCTTGGGCCGGTTAGCAGATGTTTCCTGCTCCAGAATACAAATCAGGTTTTTAAGTTTCCCCACGAAAACAAAAATTTGCCGCCTATAGTCACGTACGGATTTCCTTCCAATCACACCAAATAGTTGGAAGTTGATTCTGACTTGTTTTCTGTTACAGGGTCCGCTGAACGCACACTCATGGGGATGCATGTATGAGCGACACGCGTCATCTCTAAGACGTATCCATGTCATCTAGTGACAACTAAATTATCGCAACACTGACACTTAATATTACACCCAGGGCTCGAAGAACATTTCTTTTTCTTTCCACAAAGCCGATATTTACAACATCCTTTATGATTACTTTAGAAGTATCCTCAAATTTTAAAACTAGAAAAAAAGGCATTACTACAAGAAGATGCTGTGTATTTAATTTACTATAATTCTTTTTCCTTCTGCTACAGAATTTCTATTTTGTATTTTACTCTAGTAGCTTTGTGGGTTCATTAGGATCAATCTTTTATTACTTTCTAGAAGCAAGGCAGGCATAAATATAGGCCAAGAGTATAATGATAATGTGCTTAATTTTGTGCTGCTACATTGACCTTTCAAAGGCTCCATCGAATATATGGCCATCTATAATATATGACAATAGGCTTTTCCCATGTCCTTCTGGCGACAGATTTCAACAGAGTATTTTGCTAAATACACAGGTATAGAGAGATTGTAAACTGGTTCTTTTTTTCTTTACCTTGTCTATATCATCTCCAAGAACACAAGCCCCATGAAGAGAGGGGTGTTTGCCTGCTCCATTGTCTGCGGCACCCCAGTCCCCAGGATGGTCAGTCATTGAATGAATGAGAATAGACTGGCCCAGCTGTTCCTCACTATAAAAACCAGCATGTGTCTTCTCCAGCATAGGCTATACTTAGTAACTGTCTCCTAAGTCCCCCCAACCCGTTTTCCTCCTTCTTCATGTGCCTCTTCACTATTTTCTCATTCTGTCTTTGTAAATTAAATACATTTCACTTTCCTAGCCACCCGCACCCAGGTTGACTCCACAGCCATCCCTCTAACCTGAAGGAAGTTCATTGGACACCTGGGAGTGTGTCCTCAGGGGGATGGATTTGGAACCCAGGTGCCTCTTCCCTGATCCCAGCTAAACAGTTCTTGAGTCAGAACATAGCTTGTCCTCAGGGCACGCAATCCGAGAAGTGTCAGGAGAGCTGTACGCCAGAACCATAGGAGGGGACAGGCATGAACAAGGCTTCCTAGCCACCCGCACCCAGGTTGACTCCACAGCCATCCCTCTAACCTGAAGGAAGTTCATTGGACACCTGGGAGTGTGTCCTCAGGGGGATGGATTTGGAACCCAGGTGCCTCTTCCCTGATCCCAGCTAAACAGTTCTTGAGTCAGAACATAGCTTGTCCTCAGGGCACGCAATCCGAGAAGTGTCAGGAGAGCTGTACGCCAGAACCATAGGAGGGGACAGGCATGAACAAGGCAAAATCAGAAGCAAGGAAGAAGGAGTGTCTCCCTGGCTGGTGTGGCCCAGTGGATTGAGTGCAGGCCTGCGAACCCAAGGGTCGCTGGTTCAATTCCCAGTCAGTGCACATACATGCCTGGGTTGTGGGCCAGGTCACCAGTAGGGGGTACACAAGATGCAACCACACGTTATTTCTCTCCCACTCTTTCTTCCCTTTCCCTGCTCTCTAAAAATAAAATCTTTTTTTTAGAAAGAGAAAAAGGGGTGTCCCCAAGTGACAGAAGGGCAGGCAGGAACACAAGGGAGCTGGTCCGGGACCCCCAGGCCAGTGGAGTGGACAGCAGGCACTGAGGAACCCAGCTCAGTGAGGCGTCAATGCCAGAATCCACATTGGCAGCAAGAAAGGAGTTCGACGAGATCGAACGGAAGTGGGCCCACCCAACCAAGGCTCTCTGTGACTGTCCTTCAGAGAGACCACTGGGCCAGGTCACGTGCCTGGGGTAGGACTAGAGTTGGCGAAGCCTCCAAGAGTGGGCCCGTCCCGACCCTATGGCCCCCCAGGACCGAGTATGAGTGCAGCAAGCAATCGGAGATCACTATATGACAGCATCCTGGCTGCATGGCAGCGTACATTTCTAAGGTTCCAGGTCTTGCCATCCCAGAAATTCAGTGGCCGAGGAGCGAGAACATATTAAGTGCTAGCATTAAAGGAGGAAAGGAAGGCGGGTCTGGTGTGGACCCCTCTGGTTGTATTTCCTGGTGCATTTCCTGTCATGGCCTGACGTTCCAAACTTGTACTCTTCTCTGTCCTCCATGCTGGGGGCTCCGGGGGGCTTTGTAACCCTTTGCTGATGAAACCACGTGCTTTCATCGGTTGCCCTTAGATGCCTCCAGCTCTGGGAAGACGGTGTCCAAATACCACTGAAATGACTTGCAACCCAATCGTTTCCTTAATGCCACACGCTCGCTGATGTTTCCATAGGGAACGGATTTCAGACCAGGCCTTTTTAAAAGATACTGCTCCTTAAAGAGACAGAAAGAGTTTCGTTAGACATCCAACATGGCGGTGTATATATTTTCACCCTCTGAACTTAGAACAAAGACCTTCTGACTTCCTCTGTCTAGGGACACACGTAGAAGCTGGGACACACTCACCCCACACGGACGTGCAGCATGTGCTGTGGTGGGTGGCCCACGGCAGAGGTGGGGCGTGTTCCCTTCTCCCACCTCCCCCCTCCCCTCCCCTCCCCCATCCCAGCCAACACACTTGCACAGTTGCACAGTTTCTGGGACGGGGGATGGTGTGGGGGCCAAGGGCACCGCGGCTCTGGAGGACGACAGCCCGGGTCCCAGGGCTGGCTCTGCTGATTTTATCAGCTAGGTGACCGTGGCCCCTGCCCTCGTGAGGTTGTTGGGAGGACCGAACACTTCCATCCGCGCAGAGCTTTTGGGAGATGCAGCCCAGCACGTGGTGCCACGCCGGGGTCGGCCACTCTTATTGCCCCCACCTGCTCGGTGTTCCGTGCGCTCTGAGTGCAGGAAGCCCCAAGGATGTGCGTCTAACGCCCTTGCTCCGCCCCCCCCCCACGTGGCCAGCAGTGTTGGGAGTCCCCCGAGGCCCCGTGTGTGTTCCTCCGCGTATTCCCAGGGCCCAGCGTGCGGCGGAGGAACACTGCGGAGGGAGACGAGCTTGCTTTTCTAAATCAGCGCATTATGAGCGTGCCAGGTAGGGTCCTCCCCGGGGATCCCTGGCCACTGTAGGTCCTCACCATCTTCCCTAGTCACTCCTAGTTCCCCGCTGTGGTGGGTGCAGGGGGTGGGCCTCGGGGTGGGGGAGGGGTGTCGTCGTTTTGGAGTGCGAGCGGAGAAGCCTTAGGCAGCATTTCCCTGGGTGAGCCTTCTCCTGCTCGGTGTCACTCACTGAGTTTCCCCCTGTGCGGCCGCATCCAACCCATGGGTCACGCCAGACGGGGCCTCCTTCTCAGGGAGACGGAGCTTTTTGTCCCTGGGTCTTCTGGGACATTCAGCAAACTCAGTCCTAGTTGTGTCCGAGTCACCGTTTAAGCCTGTGGCCAGAGTCCACAGTGTGCTAACGAGAACCCCGAAGCAGTGATTCGGGATGGCTTCCGGGCTTAGGAAGCTTACGTTCTACTTCACCCTCTTCACTGCTGCAGGACTTGAAAAGCGAGCATGTTTCATCTTTTTAGAGCTGATTTTTTTTTAAATCAGGAAATACAGTCAACATGCAAAAGGTACGTAAAATATAAATGGGCAACTTCATGGATTATTGAAAAATCAGCCTTGGCAATGCTGACTAGGCCAAGAAATGGAACATTTCCAGGACCCTGCAAGGCCCTGGTCTTCCCCTTCCGGGTCGTAGTTCATTCTCCTCCTTTCAGATGCTCCTGATGATGGATTCATTTCTTTGCTTCTCTTCCTAGCTTTGATATCTAAATATGCGTGCATGGATTATGTAGTTTCATCTTGCCCATTTTTAACTTACAGAAAAATACGGTGCATTTCATCGTGTTTGCCTGCTTTGGTTCACCGTGATGTGTGTAAGACTTACCTGCGCTGTCCTGTGTGTGTCTGGAGTTGGTTAATTTCTGTCGTCGGAGCAACTAAATGCGTCACATTTATCCGCTCCACCCTGGATGCGTGTTTGGGCCGCACTCCTTTGGGGTAACACACAGTGCCGTTTGTGAACATCCTCGCTGTGTCCCAGCACACAAACGCATGCATTTCTTTCGAATGGGACTGCTGGGTCACGGGACAGTCAGTACCTTTGATTCCATGCTTCCCCGCCGCCTTCCGAAGTGAGTTTGTAATAATTAGACCCCGCCACGAGTGTCTGAGAATTCCTGTTGCTGCCAACACTTGGTCTCATCAGATTGGTGTGTGTGTGTGTCTGAATATAGGTGGCTGTCTTTCTAGAAATACCTCCCTGAGGTTTTAATTCACATTGCCCTGCTTGCTAAAAAATATATATATCTATATATATTACTACTTTTATAATTTAACATAATAAAGAAATATTAGATCAAGGCCAGGGCATACAATATCGCAGAGGGATCCTCACATATTTCCACCCGTGTATCTGAAAGGAGAACTTTTGGGGGTTTCTGTCCATGTGGGTTGTGCGTGGATTCCGGACTGACGGCTTTCGAACGGGAGCGGAGCCACACTCCAAGTTCTCCGCGTGCGTGCCCTTTCAGGGCCTGGCAGGGGCTCAGCCCGGGGCAGAGGGCTCCCAGGTCAGCAGCAGCCCCGCCGTTGTCGGGGGCTCAGTAGTGGAGGCAGAGAATCTACGAGCTGCCTGTGGGGATGGGCACGGGGAGAGGGATTTGCTTCAGAGGGCCCGTAGACCCAGGCAAACGAATAAAAGGCTTCTTGCATTGACTGACTGATCTCTAAGTGTCTTGAGTTTTCCTAGACACGAAAAGAAAAAGTACGGTGCAGGTGTTGCAGCGCAGGATGCACTCACTGAGATCAGGGCCCGAGGAGGGGAGGGACGGTGGGAAGGGCGTGGCTTATATCGGGAACGTGGAGAAAAGAATGAAACCTGATAACCGGAAAGGCCGTGGACGGCTTCCTCGGGTCAAGCCCCACGGCCCCCCCGCACTCATCTTTCCGCACCGGACCCGCGTCCGTTACCTTGTACTCGTCCAGCCAGACGTGCACCAGCCTGAGGTTGTTCCGCGTCAGGGCTCGGGAAACCTCGGTGAGGTTCTCGGTATTGTGCTTGACGATGTGGCCCACTCGTGAGCAGGGCAGCACGAAGAGCTGGCCCCCGCACATCCAGATCTGGACGCGAGACAAAGAGAAGGCTCGCTCGCGCGTGTTGGCCAGTAACGGGCACCGGCTGGATTTTTTTTAATCCTCGCCCAAGGAAGTACTTGTTGATTTGAGAGAGAGAGAGAGAGAGACATCGATGCAAGAGAGAGACAGTTGCCTCCTGCACGTGCCCTGACTAGGGATCAAACCTGCAACCTCTTGGCATATGGGGCGATGCTCCAACCTACCAAGCCACCTGGCCAGGGCCAGCTGCTGGATTTTTTTTTTTTACAGACATAGCAATAGCTAACATGAATTAAGTCCCTTATTTCATTCAATCCTCACAGCAACCCCATAATGTAGGTGCTGTGATTATCCCCATTTTACGGATGGAGACACCAATGCCTAGATTGGCTGAGCAGCTTGCCCAGTGACACGAGGCTGAGAGTGGCCAGGCACAGGACTCCAACTCAGGAAATCTGGCCCCATGCCCAGGACCAGTAAGCAATTCTGCCTCTGTCATACGTGACCCGTTCTGATACCGACTGTGTGTGAAGAGTGGCACGATAAATTCGGCTTAAGACATCCTCCAACAATATAAGAAAACATTACACTCTGTTGACCCCCGGCATGGCTTCAGAGGTGCACGGCAGCGGATGTCAGCCCTGAGCCCCAGAGAGCCCGCAGGGCGAGGAGACGGAGCTGACAAGAGCCACCTCAGGAACACCCACATTTAAGAGACGCACAGAAGAAAGTCCCGTGAAGGGAACTGAGCGCCAGCAAGTAGTAGAAGAGCAACCAGAAATGTTGTCCTAAAATCCCAGAAAACTTCTGGAAAAGACGCTCTGTACCATCAAATGCTACAATAACTTCAAGTATATGGAAGGCCAAAAGCCATCCATTAGGGACATCAATATTAAACTGGTGACAGCTCCCTGCCCTGGCTGCTGTGGCTCAGTGGATTGAGAGCCAGCCTGTGAACCAAAGGGTCGCCGGTTCGATTCCCAGTCAGGGGACATGCCTGGGTTGCAGGCCAGGTCCCCAGTAGGGGGCACTCAAAGCTCATCAATATGAGCTTTTCAACCTCATATTGATGTTTCCCTCTCCTTCTCCTTCCCTTCCCTCTCTCTAAAAATAAATAAATAAAATCTTAAAAACCAAAACACAACTGGTGACAGCTCCCAGAACAATGTCACAGGATCCCAAAGGCCCTCGGAACCCTGGTTTACTGGGACGGAGAGGAAGCGAGACATGAAGTGTACACAGGCGTGGACGGTCTTTTCTTGGGAAAGACAAGGTTCGGTCTCTTGGTTACAGACCACGGCCAGGGTCACGGGAGCGCTTTAGTTATTTATTAATTTACATTTGTTTACAAAAAGAGAGACTCAAGGATACTCAAAGATAGGAAGGGGCCATGAGGAATGGAGTGGCTGAAAATATTAAAGCAAAGACAATTACTACATCTGAATAATAACTTAGCTGTCAGTTATTCTCTATCTGGAGGGAATACAGAGCCAGAAAGAAAAAAAAATACACGTGCTTTTCAAATATGCCTGCATCGTCCACAGGACTGATTTTCGTCCGAGGCAGAAGAATGTGCTAATGGAGCGATCGGGTCCCGAGAGGGGGAATTCCGTACACCGTTTTCTCAGAGGGAGGTCACGAAGTAAGGAATGACCAGCCAAGCCAGGAAAAGCGGCAAAGGTGCGGGTGTTACGAACCAGAGGCCGATGGGAAGGGAAGACATGCATGGAGATGAAGAAACACTGAGGACGACAGACTCACAGGATGCGGCTACGTAGGGGCTTGGGAGGGAAATACAACTGCTCTAGGTGTCCGTGTATTAGAAATAAAGCATCTGAAGGTTTAGGAAACAAATCTATATTTAAAAGAGTGTATAAACAGCGAACAAAGTAACCAGCCAAAACAAGAGGGAAGTAAAATCCAAAGCAAAAAAAAAAAACACAGAAAAACATTGAAGAGAAATATAGGAAACAATTTAACACATGCTAAGATAACATGAAATTCAAACTATAACTTCTGCAGATGATTTCACAGAGTGAAAGGAACAGGTGGCAAAATTTAAACTAGAATAGTAATGGCTGTCTCTTATTAATCAGCTCCTATAAATTCATCAGTTAAGCTGTGTTCTCCACACCAGCTTTCCTGATTGGGCAGAGACAAACAAGGCAGGAAAGTGAGAAAACAAATGTTAAGAGTAATAATGATGAGTTCACAGCCTAGATTTTTATGCACAGTTCATTATGATAATCTATTAGAATTTAGTCAAAAACAAATACCTACGATAAACATTTGATTAGTACCTTATATTTTTTTGGAGTCTCTCTCTCTCCCCCCCCAGAATATCTACTTTGTACTTTATTCTCTGCTTGAATTATCTCATGAAGTCTTCACAAATTTCTGAAGATGGCATTTATATTTATTCCTACTTAACAGGCGAGGAAACCAAGACTAAAAAAATTAATGCCTTGCCAAGGATCATCATGCAGGGGTAGAGCTGGGACTCGTTCTACGATCTGATATCACAGGATTTTTTAAAAGCTGCACCTGTTTTTAATAACTGAGATACAATTCACAGAGCATAAGAAATCACCCTTTTAAAGCATCGATTTTGGTGAGTTTCAGTACTTCCTCGAGATCGTGCCTTTAATTCCAGGACATTTTCACCCCCAGCAACGAAACCCGGCACCCACGAGCTGCTACTCCACTTCCTCCAGCCCCTGGCAGCGGGGATCCACTTTCCGTGTGTGGGGACCTGCTTATTCTGGCCATTTCATACGAAAGTGGATCCCTGTTTCATCAGTAAGTGGCTTTTGTGTCTGGCTCCTCCCACTTACCATAGGGTTCTCAAGGCTTCGTGGTAGCAAGGACCCCAGGATTTAAGAGTCGGGGGAGGGCTCAGACATCCTCCCCTGAGTCCTCTCGTCTCACAGATGCGGCAGCTAAGACCTAAGGTGGCTCATGTATTCAGTGGCGCCTCGGTCCCCTGCCTCCTAACGCTGTGTTATGTCCACCCTACGATAGCCCCCAAGACCACCAGCCGAATCAAAGAGATTCCACCCCAGATTAGAGTAGTCTCTGGGTTTGGTGTGCCGCACATTTCAAAATCACCTGTGGTCGGACATTCTGACATTTTTATGAAATCTTCTCAATTTTTGCAAGGGGTCTCGTAAATCGTACATTTCACGGGACACCAGAAGGGTACCAGATACTCATGGGGACAAAGGGCATGATTGCCACAGCAGATTACAGGACTGAAGGTTCGATTTCACGTGGTATGTGCAAAGGTAACTATTTAAAAAATAAATAAAATCTGAGTTACCCTTAGTGAAAGTTCCAAATTTTCTCCGCCCCAGAGGTCCATGTCCTTGTCGTACTGTCCAATCTCGTTAAAATAGTGCCGATTTATAGCGAAAATCCCTCCAGCCATTGCAGGGGACCTAAAAAGACACATCAACATTAAATTGATTGTACAGACTCAGTCATTATGGATGTTTGCCCAATTTATACTGAATGTTAATGATAACATAGTTAGAACTAGAAAACAACCACTTTTGCTAATTCCAAAATTATCTCAATGTACATTTAAGTACATAAAGTTGCTAAGTTGAAACCACCGCTACCTAAAAGTAGGCAGTAACATTATCTAGCAGTCACCAAGATATATAAGCAACACACCTAGTCTAAGTGTTGTTTCGGTCAGAGGGAAAGTTCCCCTGAGACCGCGAGTTTCCCGTGGGGATGGCAACTGACCTGGGCAGTGGGGTTTAGAGATAAACCCCTTTCTGAGAGCGTTAAGTGAATTGTAATGTTTACATCTGGGAAAACTATTATGGCCCAGGCATCTTGGTGGGGTCCACCCATAACAGGACCCATAAATACCAAACTCAATGATTTAAAACGAATCCCATGCCCATTCATTCTTCCACATGTCCATGTTCCCCGCGAGGCGTCCGTCACGAGTGTGAGGTCAGTCAGGGGGTCTGCAGGCGGGGGCGGGAGGCGGGACACCAGGGGGAGGTGACGGCAGGGGCCCCCCGAGAAAGACCGTGGAGTCTGGGGCGAGGGCACAGCAACGATGGCAGAGAGACGGGGTGGAAGTCCCGATCTGTTCTGAAGACGGAGCCCGCGGGTCACAGTGGGATGCGGGCGCTGGGAGGAAGAGGGAGTCGGGGCCGGCTCCAGCCAGGGCTCCGGGCCCGGTGCCTGGCGGCCGGGGCTGCCCTGTGCTGAGACGGGGGACGCGCCGCGTGGGGCTGGGTTGGTGGGGCCGGTCCGTTCGGGGCCTGTCTGAGACACGTGACTCGGCGTGTGAGTGCAGATGCCGGGGAACAGGTGGAGGACACGTCTGGCGGTCCGAGAGCGGTCGGGGCTGGGGACGTGAGGATGGGGGTCGTCGGTATGGGGGGGGGGCGGGTCACTCTGGGAGAAGGGGACAGGGAGAAGGGGGCACAGGACTGGGACACAGCACCCAACGGTAAGAGCCCGGGGAGAAGACGGGGAGGAGGACAGGGGCGGGAGGACGCCCCGGGCACCATGGTGGCCCGGGGGGGTGGCCACGGGAGGGTGCGCGTCAGAGGGAAGGGAGGGGCGGCCCAGCGGACAGACCGGGGAAGACGAGGACTGAGACGGGAACACTGGGTGTCCCGACGTGAAGGCCATTCACAAGTTTCCATTTGGAGGGGGCGGGCAAAGTCTGGTTCGAGTGAGTCTGAGAGATGAGTTAGCCCTGGCCCGCGTGGCTCAGTTGGCTGGAGCCACACCCCGTAAGCCGAAAGGCTGTGGTTCGAGTCCCGTCAGGGCACGTACGGGAGGCAACCAGTCGATGTCTCCCTCTCTCTCCCTCTCTCTCTCTCTCTCCCTCTCTCTCTCCCTCTCTCTCTCTCTCCCTCTCTCTCTCTCTCTGTGTCTCCCACTCTCTGGAATATCCGTGACAAGAGCTGATGCAGGTGTTGGCTACAGACAGTGTGAGGAGATTGCACTCCTGTGGTTAGTGGGACGAAGAGGTTGGCTGTGAAGGGACAGAGGCGGCCTTGGTGTCCGAAGTCACCAGCGAGTGTGGAGAGGGGCCTGGCAGAAGTCTGCTCAGAAGCAGCCTCGGCAACGCCGTTGACACTCACAGCGCCCAGACTGCGCCCACACTCAGCCAGACAGTTCCCGAGACCAACAACCGAGGGGAATCAAGTCCGCCTCGGCCTAGGAAGGTACGGACAGAAGCCCTTGCGTGACTATTTTAGAAACGGATTTGGGGAGAGGTCTGCCGGCCCCACCCCCGCGCCCCCATTCTGTTCGAGGGCCAGCACGTGCCCCTCGCCCCCGAGCACAGGCCACGCTCTGCAGACCTCTGAGGTCAGAGGGCACCCGCCAGAGAGGGAGGGGTGCTGGGAACGGGGTGACATGGCGTGTTCAGTGGAGGAAACTCAAAACCAGCTCAGTTCCGCTCTCACAGCCTGTTCGAGGCAAGTGAACTGTCAGAGACGAGAGAAACAGCAACATAGCATTAAGCCCGAGACAGTGAAGAAATAACCTCTGAACGCTTCTTTTTTATTTGCCCCGGGTACCCAATGCGCCTATTCCGCCGTATTGCCCCACGCCCTGAAGAAATCTCACCGGACGGGTCTGATGGGCCCCTCGGGTCCCTCCGTCTCATAAGAGAGAACGTTATCCCATTTAAACCGCAGGTGCCAGTCGAAAGCTCCTCTCACGACGGGGGAGGGCTGGTATTCCAAGGTCATGGGGTCGATGACGTCTATGACAGGACACACCACCGTCCTGCGGTGCTGGGCCACGGCGGCCAGCAGGGGCTGCAGCCACATCCTGTTCACCTCGCAGTGGCTGTCCAGGAACACCAGCACGTCTCCTGGGGGGGCAAGAGGCGGCCGGCGTCAGGGCTTGTGGGCGGAACCCGGACCACCCAAGTCCAAGTCGAGCACCACCGCTCGGGCGAGCGCTGGCTACGGGTTCGGCTCCCAAGGTGCTTTGGGTCCTGCCGGGGCCAGAGACAAGAAACACAGGCCTGGTTTTGTACCAGAAGGGCGGGCCCTCCCGTGCTAGCGATGCCCAGAGGGACACCTGCGGTCGGAGGGTGGCATGGGGGTGGGGGGGGACTCTGAAGAAGTGGGTAGGACTGCGAGGCTGCGGTGAAAAGACACCTCAGGTTGGCTCTGACCCATCAGCTCAGCTTAGCAAGCGTTGGCCGGGAGGACACCTCCTCCGTGGTTTACTTCGGGATGCAAAGATGCCTCCCTGTTTTCGCTCTTGAGTGGAAGCTTTAATAAGGGCCTCTTCTGCTTAGAGAAGATGGGAAAGGTTGGCCAACCCGAGGAATGCGTGTGTGGAAACGCCCGGTGCCGGCCAGGCTCCGGGGAGGGGGCCCTCTTGCGGCCGGTGACGGGGCTGCTCGCGGCTGCGGTCTTTGTGAGGACAACCCGTCAGTGCCTGTCATCGCTGGGAGTAAGAATCCTCCCTTGGCTGAGATTTCTCCTTTCAGCAGTTTATCCCATACACGTGCATTGGCACGGAGATACAGGTACGAGAACCGCTGGTGCCGCATTTCTTATTTTTTAGTGAGCGACGGTAAAAATAAAAACCACCAGTTGAAAATCAGCCGCCCCTGGCTGGTGTGGCTCAGCTGGTTGGAGCATTGCCCTGTAACCGAAAGGGTGCTGGTTCGATCCCCGGTCGGGGCGTGTGCGCGAGGCCACCGATTGATGTTTCTTTCTCACATCAGTGTTTCTCTCTCTCTGTCCCTTCCCCTCTCTCTTGAAGCAGGATAGATTAACCCTTTAAAAAAAGTTTTTACCCCCCCCCCAAAATAGCTGAGTGAATTATGACTATCTACTCATAGAACCCATAAGGGAGACCATACTATGATTAAAACTCATGTCTTCAGTACTGTCATGGGGAAAGTTCCAAAACATTAAAGTTAAATCAAAAGAGTAGGTCTCAGGACGATGAAGCTAGTGCGATTCCACATGGAGTGGAGCAAAGTGGGTTGGCAGTCATGAGTACGTGAAACAGTTTATTCCTGTATTATTACCGAGTCATTGATGTATTGGTCTTCATACGTGAACAACTGTGAACCTACTTTCACCCCACCCTGCACGTTTAAAGGTCCTTGGAGTTCTGTGTGTGTGTGTGTGTGTGTGTGTGTACACACACTCACACTAATGCATGGAACCAGAGGTCTGAAAACACACACGCACCGTGCTGGGCCTTGCACTGTGTTTCGGGCGACGACCACGTATGGTCTGTGCTGTTCCATCAGAGAGTGTGGCTGTCGATTCAGCCAACTCAGAAAAAGAGAATCAGATGTTGCTCGTATTCGGCCTTCGGCTCACTGAGGAGTCCCAGGCTGCAATGTGGTCTGAGGGAACACCCTGGACAAAACCCATGACCTTTGGTTCTAGTTTAATGTTCTGCCAAAAACCTCCGACCCGGCGCTGGCTGGTGTGGCTCAGCGGGCTGAGGGCCAGCCTGCGGCCCAGAAACCTCCGGCCCTTTGGGACTCCAGGGAGGTGGGTAGCTGGGATGCTCAGACCCCTGGGCACCCGCCCCCGAACCCCCTCCCCCCCCCCACCACCCCGCCTCGAACTGTTGACTGCTGAGGGCTCCCAGCTGCAGCTGCGTCCCTCCCCAGGAGCTGGCCCTGGAGGAGGAGGGGGCTGCCTCGTCCAGGGCGATGCCCCTCCCAGGGGCAGGGCTGTGCTCATCGCTGCCCGTCCCCTGACCCCATTCTCTGATGGCAGCCCCGGGAGTGAGCGGCTCTGGAGCACACGCACTGTGGGGAGCCCATCCGACAGTTCCCAAAGGTTTGGGTCCAGAGCAGTGTTTGCAGCACGGCCTCGCGCTCCCCGGGGGGGACCCCCCCGAGGTGACTAAGCACAGTGTGTGCGGGTGGGGGCTGGGGAAGCAGGCAGGGAGGGAGGGCTGGAGCCGGCGCCTCTGATGGGCCCTCTGCCCCCCCACCCCACCCCCGCACCCAGCTGGGCCTCTCCGAAGCTAGTTCCACCCCAACCCCCTGCCGTCCTTCCCTCTCCCCCTGCCCAGGCGTCCTCGGACCACAAGCTGCTCCGGGTCCACTTGTCTCCCTCACCCCTTAACCCTTCACGGACATTTCTCCAGGAACTCTCCTTCCTCCGCTCATGTCCCCTGGGCCCTGGAGCCCTGCAGCGGGTGCCCACCCTGGCTCCAGAGTCCCCCGTGCTGCAGGCAGCTGCCCCCGGCTCCACTGGCCCCCAGAAGTCTCCCTGTCCTCACTGCTCCACGGGCCTGGGTCCCGAGAACACCGCAGCCGGTCCCATGCATGCGCAGCTGCGTCTCAGACTGTGTCTGGGGGACACTCACTCTGCACCCTGCTACGGGGCGGCCGACGTGAGGACCTTCCCCTCGAACTAACATTAACATTGTAAAGCAGAGTGCTTTCGGGGTCAAAGCGACTCTGCCGCTCGTGGGGCTGAAATACGTTTCCGGTCCGTGTTTGTGGCGAGGGGAGACAGGGAGGGTCCCTGTGAGGACAGCTCTGCCGGGCGGACAGGTCCCCGAGGGGCGGACCCCGGCTGGGCCGCCCAGGGGAGGCCCCTACCTGAGGCCCGGGCCGCTCCCGCCATCCTTGCGCGGATCAGCCCCTCTCGCCTCTCGGTTCTCACGAGTTTGACCTTCCCCCGAAACTTCTCCAGGTGGTAGTCCAGCTTTTCTTTCAAATCGTCTGCGGGGGGGTAAAGAATCCGAGATTTGGCCACGTGTAAAATGGTAGCTGCACGCATGGAAACAGCTGAGCACGGTTTCGACTGACCCCCTAGAAGCCACGCTCACCCACAGAGACACTCGCTTTGAAAGAAAACGTTACCCTACTCGAGGAAGAGAAGGAAGTGTTCCAGCCCTGAAATCAGCCGTACACGGCTTTCTGTTTCTCGTGAAGTACCGCAATGTTAATAAATTGTTCATAGAAGTCGAAGAGAAAAGACACGGGTTTGGGCATTTTGGGGCGCTCTGGCTTTTGGAGGGGCCGCACACTTGGCGGTAACTCTCAGGCAAGTCATCAGACCACGTGAGCGTCAGTTCCCTCGTCGGTGGGAGGGGACCCCCCCCACCCCCCACCGCCGTATCCCTCGCCATGTCGCAGCGGGAGGAAGGAATACAACAGTCAGCACACAGCCCATGTAGGGGGCATCCCTAATTTTTCCTCAAAAATCTGGGCAAAAAAAATCTGTGCCTTACACACAGCAAAACATGGTAGGTCTCTGCACTCAGGCGTGGCTGTGAAAGGCTGGGGGCGGGGCCCCGTGGTCCCCCCAGGGCTGGAGCCCCCCAGCGCACCCTGTCCTTCCCGGCGAGAAAGCAGGGCTCCAGTCTCGCAGGACGGCCCACCCTGCCCCTGCTCGCGGCTTTTCTGGGGACCTGTGACCCAGCATGGGCCAACCTGCTCAGAGCCGCCGCCGCCTCCTACTGACCAGATGAGGAATCGGACCATCTCTCCGCATCCCCTCCCACACACAAGACTAGGAATAAAGAGCGTCTCCCGTAGAAATAAATGTCGTGCGTGGCGGGGCCTGGCTGACAGGTGACATTCCTAAATGTGGGTGACATTCGCTTCAGTTCTATTCCACCTCCGAGCTGACGCCCGGAGTTCCCGCCCCTTCCTGTTCTTCTCCCTACTCTGTCTCTCTCTCTTTCCCAGCCCACAGGGTCAGGTCCACAGTGATGGGGTGTGCTCTCAGGTAGGAGGCCTATGCAAGGCTGGGGTGTCGTTTCCATGGGAAACGCCCCCCCCCCCCAGGGACCTGCAGACTCCGAAACTCTTTCCACGCATCCGGGTCCTCCGGGCTGGCTTCCCCTTTGCATTCAACTGGTAGAACAGACAACGAATTTCAGGTGCTAAGTGCGGTTCATCAGACCGTGTAGCAGCACGAGACTTTACACTCGTGAGCAAGCAGCAGGAAGCACGCCCCTGTAGCTGGCCCAGTGAGAGTTCTCTCCTGGAAGGCACCCAGGTCCTGCCTTTTCCCTGCGTGAAGCGTGTCAGAGCTCCCCGCTTTCTCCAGGTAAAATTCCACCAATCCCCTTCACGAGCGGTTGCCTTTGTATATCTCTGCTTCTCTGTCCACCCCTCCCTTCAACTCTCTGCTCACACAAGTACCTCTCATACACAACTGCTCTGAGCCGACCAGGTTGTCTCTCGCCTCCGGGCCTTTACAGTCCCCTTTCCTCTGCGCCTCTCTGTCTAGCTGACTCGCACCAATCCACCCTTCAGACCTGAGCTCTGATGTCACTTCTTCCTGCATGTCACCGAAGACCTCTGAAGACCAGGTGGGTGCCCCTGCACCTTTACCTGGAGGAAGCACTAACCGCCCCGCCTGCCAACGCCGGCAGGGCAGGGGCCAGATCTTACATCCCCGCCACCAGTGCAGCCGTAGCCTCGGGCTCAGGGCCTGCCTCGGTGGCACCCAGGACGGCGTTTTGTGTTTTAAAGTAGCTCACAGGCCATCGGAGAGAGCGCTGCCTCCAGCGTAGACTAGGGAGATTATTAGTCTTCCGTCTTACCGAATTTGCTCATGTCATCCACCAGAATAATCTCTTCAAGGAGCTGGTGCGGGGTGAAATGCACGACGCTGGTGACTGTCCGAAACAAGGCATTAAATTCTTCATTGTGGAAGCAAATGACGACGCTGGCGGTGGGTAGCTGGGCTGGGTAATGTTTTTGATGGCACCTGCAGGCACACGGGAGAGGGAGAAAATGATGCGTGCTTGGGGATCTCAGTGCCCTGGCCTCCAACTATACTACAAAGCTATCGCAACTAAAACAGTACGGCACTGGCCTAAAACTCAGACATGTGGCTCAAGGAAAGAGAATAGGGAGCCCAGAAATAACCGCCAATTAATTAATGCCAAACAGTTAACTTATGCCAAAGGAGACGTGTATACAATGGGGTGAAGACAGCCCACCAATCAGTGGTCTTGGGAACACTGGGCAGCCACGTGCAAAAGAAGGACATGGACCCCTAACCGACCCCATACACACAGATTCACTCAACGGAGATGGAAGATGTGAACGTAAGACCTGAAGCCGTGAGGCTCCTCAGAAGGAAACACGGGCAGCGAGCTCACCAACATCGGTCTCGGCGATGGCGTTTGAGGCTCTGACGCCCCAACCAAGGCAACGGGAGCAAGAAGAAATAAGGAGGGCTGCATCCAACGAAAAAGCTCCTGCACGGAAAAGAGAGCCACTAACAAAATGAAAAGGCAACCTCATGAATGGGAGAAAACGTTTGCAAATCCTATGCCTGACCAGGCATTAATATCTAAAATGTACACAGAACTAACGCCGCTCGCCCCGGGCGGGCGGGGGCGTTGGGTGAAGCCTCGTCCACGCACCAAACGGCTGCCGGCCCGTCTCCAGTCAGGACGCGTGTGGGAGGCAACCGAGCGATGTTCCTCTCTCACGTCTGTGCTCTCTCTCTCCCTCTCTCTTTCTTCCCCACCTCCTATCTCTCTGAAATCAATAAAGCATACCCTCCAGTGAGGATTAAAAAAACAACAACAGAAAAACTCATACAACTCAATAGCAAACAAACAGACCAAACATCCCAATACCATTTAAAAAATGGGCAGAAGATCTGAATGGACATTTTTTTCCCCCCGAGAAGACACACAGATGGCCCACAGGCACGTGAAAAGGTGCTCAGCGTCACAAATCGTCAGGGAGACGTGCAAGCCAACACGGCAGTGAGACGGCCCCTCGCCCCTGTTAGAGCGGCCGTTCTCCACAAGACGGGGGATGACAGGTGCTGGCGAGGGCGTGGAGGAAAGAGCCCCCCACCCCGTGCTCCGTGGGCAGGAGCGAGTGTAAATCGGTGCAGCCACTGTGGAAAAGAGTATGAAGTTCCCTCAGAAAATTAAACACGGAACTACCTGATGATCCAGCAACCCCACTTCCAGGTATTATTCTGAAGAAAACGAAATCACTAACTCAAAAAGACGTCTGCGCCCTCATGTTCACTGCGGGGTTATTTACAACAGCCGAGACATGGAAACATCCTGAGAGTCCATTTCATGGATAAATGGGTAAAAAAGTGATGTGTGTGTGTATAAAATATATATTATTTTCCATTTAAAAAATGGAACCATAAAAAGAAGAAAATATTGCCATTTGCAACAACATGAATGGACACGGAGGGCATTATACTTAGTAAAACAAGTCAAACAGAAAAGGACAAACCCATATCCATCTCACATGTAGAATCTAAAAGACAAAAGCAGAAACCACCACCACCACCCCCCATCCTCCCCCACCCCCCTGCAAAAAAACCAAAAAAAACAAAACAAAACAAAACAAAAAACAAGCTCATAGAAACAGAGAACAGAGTAGTGGTTGCCAGAGGCGGGGGCGGATGGAGTGAGTACAGAGGGGAGGTCTGCAGGGCACAGCCTTCCGGATACAAAGTAACTAAGTCCCGGATACAAAGTAACTAAGTCCCGGATACAAAGTAACTAAGTCCAGGATACAAAGTAACTAAGTCCTGGGGGGTGATGCGCAGCCCGGCCCTGTAGTTAATACCACTGGATTCATATTTTGAAAGTTACCAGGGGAGTAGATTTTAAAAGTTCTCATCACAAGGAAAAAACATTTTTTGTAACTATGTATGGTGACCGATGTTAACTAGATTTATTGTGGTGGTTATTTTACAATATATACTACTACTATCCATTCATTATGTTGTACACCTGAAACTAATAGAATGTTATAGGTCAATTATATCTCAATACAAAAATAAAGAGGAGCAACATACATTTCATTCCTGGTATCTGGCAGAGGTCTCACTCTGCCCAAGCTTTCACTGATTATGGTATTAAATCCATACTTTGTAAAGCCTTGAAGAAGTTCTGGGTCCATAAACTGAACATCCTTACCTACAAGAAAAGGTAATGAGAGTGTCACATAAGTATTGGCTGATGGCCATCACTTCACTAAAGGGTGATGTTTTTAACTGTATCTATTCAAATTTATTTGTGTGAAAAACAAAACTGAGACATATAATGAACTATTTAAAAACTGTTTACACAATGAGATACCACCACACACCATTGAGAATGGCCATCATGAACAAAGCAACAAACAAGTACTGGCGAGGTTGTGGAGAAAAGGGGACCCTAGTGCACTGTTGGTGGGACTGCAGACTGGTGCAGCCCCTGTGGAAAACACTATGGAACTTCCTCAGAAAACTATAAATGGAACTGCCTTTTGACCCAGCAATTCCACTGCTAGGATTATACCCTAAGAACCCTGAAACACCAATCCAAAAGAACCTATGCACCCCGATGTTCATAGCAGCACAATTTACAATAGCCAAGTGCTGGAAGCAACCTAGATGCCCATCAGTAAATGAGTGGATCAAAAAACTATGGTACATTTACACAATGGAATTCTATGCAGCAGAAAGAAAGAAGGCGCTCCTACCCTTTTCAACAGCATGGATGGAGCTGGAGAGCATTATGCTGAGTGAAATAAGACAGGTGGTAAAAAACAAATACCATATGATCTCACCTTCAACAGGAACCTAATCAACAAAACAAAGAAACAAGCAAAATATAACCAGAGACACAGCAATTGAGAGCAGGCTGACGGTGACCAGAGGGGAGAGGGGAGGGGACAATGGGGGAAGAGGGTGAAGGGTTTGCAGGAACAAGTATAAAGGACACGTGGACAATAACAAGGGGGGTGGGAACAGGGGAGGGAGGGGGAGAGGGTTGGGGGGATGGGGAGGAGTGGGGGGATAAGGCACAAAACTCTACTTGAACAACAGTAAAACAAAAAGTTCTTAAAAAAACATAGGTAAGCCGTATCGGTTGTGCCTATCCACTGGCACACGGATTACGCTCCTGCATCGCGAAGACAGCCTGCTAAGGGAAGGAGGCCGGTCGCGGAGGCGTGGCCAGGGCGTGACTCTGCTTGTGTGAGCGCCCGGAGCAGCCAGGGTCCCGGACGCGGAGTAGAAGCTGCTTCCCAGGAAGCGGGGGCTGGGGGCGCGGGGAGGTGCTGTTGATGTGTGGGGTGGGAGTTCTGAAGGTGGGTGGGTCCGGGGACAGCGCGACGCTGTGAGCGCCTTTATTCCGCTTAATGGTGCATTTAAAAATGGTGAAAATGCTCACCTCCGTGTTATGTATGTTTTCCTACAATAAAAATCTTTGTTAAAGGAAAAAAACCTTAAATTAAGGTGGTTAAATGCATACCTACCTGTTTCATTTTTTCGTAGGTAGAATATAAAACATTTCATAATTTTAAAAAATGAATTGATATGGAAAACAAAACATTCTCTTCCCCTTCCAAATGTTACACGTATGGCCTATTTTCCCCTAAAAATGGCTAAAAGAGCCCTGACTGGCATGACTTAGTTGTGACGTCATTCCGCAAAGCACGAGGTCACCAGTTCAATTCCCGGTTAGGTCGGGGGCCTGGGTTGTGGGTTTGGTCCCCCGGCAGGACTTGAACCAGAGGCAGCCGATCTGTTTCTCTCTCACATCGATGTTTCTCTTTCTCCTTCTCCCTCCTTTCCCCTCCATGTAAAAACAAAATCTTTAAAAAAAAATGGCTAACAGAGAACATCAAAACGCTTACTTGAGTTTAAAAAGGGCCTCCGTTCTTTAGTTTCATCCTCATTAGGTCTTTCCGCTTGCACGGGGTGTCCTGGGCCGTGGGTAATTGGTGGCTGCAATTTTTTCTCAAGGGACCAAATCGATGCCAGCTCCTGGCTTTCCGCCTGCCCGCCGCCCACGTGGTCGTGGTAGAAATACACACAGAGCAGCAGTGTCCATATCCCAAATGTCAGGGACCCACAGAGCAAAAACTGAACTATGACATTTCTCATCGTAAACCCAGCATTTTGGGGAGTCCAGTCTTCAATTTCCTAAATCAGAAGGATTTGAGAGAAGCTCCGTTAGATATCGCAGTGGTTTGTAGGGTCATTTGCTTGGCTTAAATTCAACTTTCAGCGTTTTAAAAACCATTTTGGGCCCTGGCTGGTGTGGCTCAGTGGACGGAGCGCCGGCCTGCCAACCAAGGCATCGCTGGTTTGATTCCCAGTCCGGGCACAGGCCTGGGTTGCAGGCTGGGTCCCCAGTGCGGGGTGGTGCGCCAGAGAGGCAACCACACACTGATGTTTCTCTCCCCCTCTTTCTCCCTCCCTTCCCCTCTCTCAAAAAATAAATAAATACATAAAGTACCCTTTAAATAAATAAAAAATGGATAATCACTTTGCTATCAGCACTCGTCATATATGTTGATAAGATTAAAATGTACCTTTTTTCTATTATCCAAACCACTCTTAAAACTGACATTCATAAGAGGACATAACATCAAATTATACGACAGGCTCACAAGATGTTTAGTATCGCTTGTCGTCAGGGCGCACTCTCCCGAGCATGGAGCCCAAGGAAACTGTGCTTCCTCATCCCTTAGGGCTGCGGGGTTCAACTTGGGGCCGTACTGTAGGTCTGTCTCTTTAAAATCTGATCTCACACCGATCCGCCTGTTATAAACACAAACCCTACAATGTCGCACGCTGGAGAAAGCAGGGGCAATGGAAGTGGCAGCCGCCGCCGGTGGGACAGCGTGTAGTTCGGGTGACCTTATACACACGGGACAGATCCCCAGGGAGAGCGCCGGAGGAGACCCTCACCGGACGTGGCCAAGCGTGTGGACGGAGGCCGCGTGTGCACAGACACTGGACACGGCTTGAGGCTCCCCTCGCCGGGAGCCCGGAGGAAGGGGGGCCGTGCCATCCGGGCCAGAAACGGGCCAGCGGCAGCTCCCCGTATGGACACTGTCAAGTCCCAGGAAACGATGTTGCCCCCCAACAAGTTGGGTAGGACGCGACCTGCAAACATGTGGAAAACACGACAAGCTGTGCCATTGTTTGCGGTGACGCCGTATGCAGCCAGGGATGGGGGGGGCGGGGCAGGTACACGGACACAGTTTAGGGTGGCGACGGCTTCCGAGGGGGAGGATACAGGGGGAGGAAAGTAAGAGCTCCTGATGATTAAAAAAATGTTTTAAAAATCTTTACCTGAGCAAATGTTTGCTAATTTGACACACACACACACACACACACACACACACACACCGATGTGAAAGAGATCAATTGCCTCTCGTATGCACCCCAACTGTGGGGGGGGGAGTAAGCCTAAAACCTACGTATGTGCCCTGACCAGGAATCGAACCCGCAACCTTTTGGTGCACGAAGGCAACACTCCAACTCACTGACCCGCCCAGCCGGGGTGAGCTCCTAACGCTGTTTGTTTTTTAAAGCTCTGAAGCAGATGTGGCCAAGCAAGGGTGTTGGACAAAGCCTGGCGATGTGTACACGGCATTTGTGACATTTTCCTCGATATCTCCCGTGCGCTGGAAATAGTTCGCAGTTTATCAGAAGAAGAGAAAGGACGTGAGAGGCTTCCTTTCTCCACGATCGACGTCTGTCTTCTCTCCCTCCTCACTCGGCCGGGGACGAAAGGAAAGCTGAAGACCCTCCTGGGGGAGAGGGGGAGGGGGCCATCCCTGGGTGAGACTGCGATATGGGTCTGTCTGGAGGTCAGAGGCCACCGGGCGTGTGACAGTGACTGGGACGGACAGGGGAAGCCCCACTCCGAGCGTGCGGTGACGGGACACTGAGGTGGGCTGTGGTGCTGCACCAAAATGGGGTTCGGGGGCGGCTCCGAGGGTCCCACAGCTGACGGAGAGGCGGTGTTCGGACAGCGCCCGGCTCGCTGCAGCAGCAGTGCGCGTGTGAAAGTGCCCCCGGCCGTGCCCCGGGGCGGCTGCTGGTGGAGAGGCTCGTCCTGGGGGGGGCGGGGGGCGGAGTGCAGGAGTGGGACTGCCGTGGCACCAGACGGCGGCTGCTGGGCGCCACGGGTGCCGTCGGAGAAAGGCGGTGAAAGGCTGAGGGATGGTTCGTCAGATTGCATGCAAAACCTCGGTCAGGGCCCCCCACCCCCACCCCGAGCGGTGCAGGAAGGGACTGGCCTCCCGCCACCCAAGGGCAGCGAAGGCTGCAGGTCAGGCCCAGGCTCGGGGACAGGGGGCGGAGCAGCAGAGCTCCCGGGAGGGTGACCTCTCAACCCTGGGCCTGGGGAGCCTCGGCGACCCAGGGTGGGGACGTCAGCGTGGGGACGCGTCTGAAACCCCAGACCCACGGGGACCCCCTGGGCCTGCAGAACCGGCCCCCTCCCCCCAGGGGAGGCCAGCGCTCCCCTTCTGCTGGGGGGCCACGGGGAGGGACCAGTTCCCACACAGCCTGCCCGGGAACGTGCTCGGCCCGCTCAGGGGTCAGCGGGTGTCCCCAGGGGCCAGGCAGCCCGGGGCCCGGCCGGGGCGGGGCCCGGCCCTCGCTGGCTCCAGGGAGGGTTTGTTAACGAGGAGCGTTGTCGGGGACGCGGCCAGCCTCCCGAACGGGACGGGTAACGCTTTGGAAAGGCGGCCTTTGCTCCTGCCAGGGAAGAGCACCGCACGGGTGAGACAAGACGAGAACCGCTAACTGGGGGACAGGGTGGACGAGGCCCGGAGACAGAATGCGCAGTTCCCACTTAAACTGCTGCCCCGCCTTCCCAGGAAACGTCTCCAACTCTGAGAAACTTCGCTTTCACTTTCCCCAAAACCCAAAGGTGATGGGAAACAGAATTCGAACAGAACACGGGGGAGAGGGGCCGACGGAGTTTCACGTAGAAAATATGCACCTGAGTTCACGGGCGAGGGTTACTACGGAAACAGAAAAGACGTGTGTATTCTCTAGAGGGGTCCCAGTACATTAAGAAAACTTGGGGAAATTTCTCTTTAGATGTGAGCACCTATAAAAATATACCTTTCCAGTGTTCTCCTCTTTCTGGTGTCTGCTTCTTTATGTCACGAGTTTTAAAGCAGAGTTCCTGCAGTTGTCTGAAATAGCCCTCCCCCCGCCACCCTCCCAGAACACACAGCAGCCTCTCCTACCACACCGCAGCGTTTTAGGTTGACTCCACCAGCTAGAAAAACACGGAATCCGTAAAACATTTCAGCGACGACCTATGTGTGCAGCCAACACGATGGTAAACGCCCTGAGCGTTCAGGACCCCGCACCCGCTGAGAAGCCAAAACGCTAAGTCTGGATGCGGCCTCCGCCTTCGAGCTGGGTTTAAAAGTGGGAGTCTTAAGGGCCAGGAACACAGACCGTCAGTTTTTGTAACCCTCCCTCACTTGCCCAGGGCAATCTTAGTACTGATCTCTCTGATACCACAAAGGGCCCTTTTTCTATTTATTTATTTATTTATTGTAAATAACACCTTCACTTGGTATACATCTTAAGGAGCATAATCAAAATTGGCCCTGATTGTCAAGAACTGAATTCACTGTGATGCCCAGTCCGCCTCTAGGATGGGGGTAACACCTTTGAAAATAAAAAATCAGATGGTAACCCTAACCCCCGAGCCAGCGTCTCACTGGCGATCCAGCGTGCTGGTGCGCTGCTCCCGATGAGCCCAGGTGGGGAAGCCTCCCCCATCTCCGCGCCCCGCCCTCCCCGCTTCCAGCGCTCTGAGCGCGCACCCACCTGCCGCCCAGACGGGCACTCTGGCTACTTTGTATCCGGAGGCTTTTCTAAGTTGCATAGGCGGAGCCAGGCAGGGACGTGCGCGCAGTGATCTGAAGGATGGGATTACTTTGGAAGGGCCGACTCCGTGGTGCCAGCATCCGGAGTCCTGCCCCCGTGGCAGAGCTCGAAGCAGAGCCTACCTCACAGAGCCCCGTGACGTCACACAGGGCGTCCCAGCCCCCACAGGCCCCTGCCTGGAAGCTCTGATCAGCAGGTGGAATCCCGGCTTTCCAGAGTTTAAAGGGTTCTTCCAGAAAGTCTTGGAATCCTCACCCCCACCCCCACCCCACCGCCGCTGAGGAAATGGAAAAAGCCTCATCTTGGGAAAATTGCAATCCTAGGATTCTCTAGGCTAGGCTGTTTTGAAATAAACTTAAGAAAAAGAACAAACCCCTGTTGGGTGGCTCCATCGGTTGGAGGATCATCTCAAAGGTTTCCCGTTTGATTCCTGGTCAGGGCACATGCCGAGGTTGCAGGTTCGATCCCCAGTCAGGGCACATGGGGAGGCAACCAATCAATGTTTCTGTCTCTCATCAATGTTTCTCTCTCTGTTTTTCCTGTGTTTCTCCCCCCCCCCCAAATCAATCAATACATCCTTTGGTGAGAATTAATAAAAAAAAAACACAAAAAGGTTTCACCACACTGCACTTGACTTAACGATGAGCCGAAGGGTTATTTGGCCGCCTTTTAATTTTTTCCTCTACATTACTCAGCCTTTAGATGTCAGCCGATGCATTTGGCCGAGTGCTTGTGAAATGTCTTCTTTCTTAACACGTCTGAGCAGATCCGGCCCCCCTCCCCCCGCCCAGGGGGAGGAGGCTGACTCAGGGCTTTGCCTGCCATCAGACCTCTGCTTCCAAGTGTGTGAGAGGCAGTGGGCAGGTCCCTGTTGACACACCTCTGCCCAGATGCGACAGGCAGGCACGGCCGGCCTCCAGGCGCAGCTCTGAGTCTGCTGTGAAGGGCTTGAAGGGCAGGTCCTTCCTGGTGCCTTTACAATAAGATGAATACTAAAATGAAACCTTTTATTCCTAATAGCCCTCAACTGGAGACGACCCAAGTGTCACTAATAGCAGAATGGATACATTGTGGCCGTTCCCATAATGGAACGCCAGACAGCAACACACGACTGAACCACAGCAACCACAGCCGCGTATGAAGAATCTCACAGACATAATATTGAGCAGTAGAAGACACAGGAATTCAGAGTTCTTTTTCTAAAAAAAAAAAAAGATTTTATTTATTTACTT